AGAGAATTTAAATTGAAGTGCTTGCTTTGATGGTTACCCACCAAGAAGATCTGTGCCTTGTGGTGCTGGTTAGTAAGCAACTTGCAGTCAGTGTCCAAATTGTCAAAGAAGACAAAAACTGCAGCAGATGTCTGACACAAAAAAGAAAACTGTGTTTCAAATGAAGTAATGTCCCCACGAAGGTTAGCTACAGCTACTGGCTCACTGAAAATATCAATGTTTTTGTTTCCACAAGGAAGGTACCAAGTAATTTCAGTCAGTCCATCAGATATTCTTCTTGGACTGTCGCCACACTCCATATCGTGGTGAACAAAGGTGTCATGGTACTGCTGAGAATTGCTCAGAAGCTTATTGAGAATCTCTGACTTGGACAAGGAGCATTCCCCCAGTCTCACAAAGGATATCATTGGAAGTTCAGAGAGAACAATTCTGTCTTCAGTAAAACCCTTGGATTGTGAAAGTGACTGAGGTCTGTATTCTTTAACAATGTCTCTCAAGGCCCAAAGCATGAGTGTGCACTGTTGTGTGTCACAATTAGGGAGCAGCAGCGGCACAGAAAACTGACACATAGACATTTTGAGTGCCATCTCCTGCTGTACAAAAGCATCAGAACACAGAAAGAGAGCAGTAATGATGTCAAGGGGGTTCAGCATGTCACCTGAGTCTGGACTGTTGAGCAGATTATCAAAATTTAAGCTTGTATTCCCTGCCACAGCATTACTGTCAGATTCACATTCTGATGTACACTTCACATTCCTGGCTGTCACATTAACCATCATTAGCTTCTTCAGAAAATACCATGGAAGATCTGATTGACACTTGGCAGGTTCATCAGTAATGGTCTTCTCATCAATCTGAAGTATTTTGCTCAGTGATAACTTCTCTGTGTAGTGTTTCTCCAACCCCAGGTCTTCGAGTAAGCTCTCCAGGGGTGTCTCTGTGGACATGAAGATGCTTGTTATTTCAAACCAATCATAGGTGTTTTAAGGATAGCAGATCAGGTTGACAAGATATGTCAGTAGTGAGTTGATGTAAAGCGATTTTATTATCCTTCAAAAATACAATGAAATCCTGAACTCTTTTACTTTACTCATTGTAATAATTGTATAGATTCTACTTAATTATTGCTTTTGAAGTCAGTAATCAAAAATATAATTTAAAAAAATCAATGTTGTTGATTTCGTATCATTATAGCAAAAGAAAAAAATAATAAATAATTTGATGATCAAGGTATTTAAGTCGATACAAAAAACAATTACCAATGCAAATACAACTATAATGACAACATAGGCAGCTGGCTGCTTTCTAATCCACAATATCTCATAGAAAATTAGAGTGAAAATTTAAAATTTAATTTGAAAATGAGAATAAAAAGTACATTTCCAGTTAGTTGGTTAGCTGGAAAGCTGCCCCAGAAGTAATCCCTGTTCAAAATGGCAGTGTTTCTTTAAAGGATTCACATGCTGGTGTTATCGATTGTTCTCGCCTATTTATTGAAGCTTGAAGTTAGAGAAAGGTACACAGTGAATTAGCTGAGATGAACCCACATGTATTAAATATAACACTGCAAATTCTCCTCAATCACGTGTGTAACCAAGCAAACAACACTAAGAGTTAAAGGCTGTTTCCAAAACTGTTTCTATTTACCATTATGTCCAGTATTTTTACCTTTCACCATTTTTTTTCTGAATAACTACTGAATTTTTTTGTGCAAAATTTATGAATCAGTGCACTGAACAATACTACAAATGATTTAAAGAAACAGTGTACATTGGTTTATATATCTTTCTGATAGTAACCCCATAATGCAATGTGCAGCACTTTATAAATGCAAACAGTATGGTGACAAACCTTTCAGATTTTATGATTGATTAATTTAAGCTTTGATTTATTTAAGAAAATTGTGAGCTTATGACAGCAATGACTGAGCCTCTCCATTACACTGCATGCCACAGCATTGCCCAGACCAGGCACCACGAAGATAGTGGATTGAAAATGGAGGAAACTCTTTTTTTTTTGTTGGAGATTGTAACTTATTGATTGTAACAACTATGCAAATGCAAAATGAATGCATCATGCTGCTCAAGAAGAGATTTGGGGATATGTGGCTGATAAGGTGAGAAGTTAAGGGACAGATTTCAGTGGCAGTATTTGAACAAAGAGGAGGTGGCTGAGTAATTTGTGCACATCATGTCAGAAGGTCTACAGGCAGATTTGTTCAGAAAGTCAGCAGGGCAGTATTGACAGAAATGCATTTCTAGGTCTATACGATGATGTCAGGATGGCTCAGCACCCAGCTGAAATTAAGAAATTATCAGCTACATGCTAGGCATAATGAGATATAACTAATAATACTTATTTTGTAAACTGTAAGGCAATCCCTCCCTACCGTTTGTAACTGTATGGATTGACTTATGAGAAACTGGAAATACTGGCCAACATTTTTCCCCGTCTGTCCACTAGGTGTCTTCAGTGACTTGCCGTTGGATATTTGGCTGCCATGACCTTTACAAATGTGAACATTCGCCAACAGTCCTGTCCTGCATGTGCTAGTTGTTGAGTTGTTTCTCTGTTCGGCTGCAGTTATGCTGTCAGCTTTCCAAATATTTGAAGTAAAGTCTCCTGTTGGTGTCAGCTACTGCTGCATCTGCCTCCCTTCTGTCTGTACTTGGATCCTATCCACTAGTCCTGTTAGAACACTAATTATCATCACTAAGTATCATTTTACCTAAGTTTGTGTTTGATTTACCCACATTATTCCTACTTTACTTACTCTTCTTTTTTAGCCCTTCAAAGAGTGAAAATGTGTCTGCATTTGTACTCTGGGAAGAAATTGGTGACCTTATGGCTCCTTTTTCCCACAATTTGATTTGATCTGATTTGAATCGATTTTCTTTTACTTACTTGTATGGACAGACTTGTTGCTGGCATGGCAGGTTGTTATCTTCACGGTAGAGTTTGGCACTGTGTAAATAAGAAAAATGATAATGGTAACATTGTGAATGATTCAGCTTTAACTACTAACAGTGCACAGCAAACAGTGCCTTTTGTTCTGAACAATAGATTGCATGAAGCTGATCTTTACCACAGTCACCCTCGCTGTCAAGCCCTGGTGTTGATGTGTCGGCACAGTAGAGGTCAACAAATGACTCATCACTGCTTCCCTTGATAAATGAGAAAACATACATTTTCAAATATAATGAATCAACTCATTATCCCTTAGACATTATCTTGTAGGACAGTCAATCCATTGTATCTTTATTAACTGTTTACCTCCATTGTGGCTTCACTCTCAGTCATCCCACATTTGGTCCTGATTATTTAAACAACTTCTCACTGAAAGTAATGAGAGACAAGTCTATAAGGCTTCATTCCCCAAGCATTAAAAATATCCCAGCCAACAGCCTACATGACTGCAGAATGGACCAACAGGGGTGTGTGCTGATCACAGTAATAATTTATATAGACCAGTATCTAAAATGTGTGTGTTCGGTTTAAAAAATGTTTTCCTTCTAGGGTGACTATTAACAAAGACCCCCACCTCCACCCCTCCTGCATCACCTAACTGAATCAGTCATTAAACCAAACATGAGCAGAAACAACCCAGCTTGGGAAACCCCTGAACTGTTATCATGCAGTGGTCTCAACTAAGAGATATATGAAATATGTTTAGTGAATACCTAAAAATGTTGTTTTAGTTTTTCAGGTCCTCCCATCAGGCACATAATGGAAACTGACAAAACTGACAAAACAATAACATATAGCAACCTACCTTTTGCAGAGGAGATTCATCCATGGCAATACTGCATTCTTTTAGCCATTCAGTTATGCAGGATATATAGATTTTGTATTTGTCCTGTTTCTGTCAATGAAGCACCACCCTTCTCTGTGTTCGACTATACAGTGCTGCAGTGCAGACCCCTCTTTTTATTCTGCTGGTGAAGTAACTTTCACTTTTGGTTTTTGTGATCATGTGGTTTCCCGGAAAGTAACATTTCTGTTACAGTACTTCCAAGAAAGAAACTTGATGAAGGTCACCTCAGATGGTGCAGTGCAGTAAGATGTTTTTCCCTGTTGTATTGCTGAATTAAGACAGTTTAAGAAATCAATGTTGAAACCATGGGAATCATACAATGCTGATTATAAGCCTGTATTTTCACCGTAAAATTAAGCATTACTTCAAACTTCAGGTTTAATTCAAGGTTCAATATTCACACTGTTTTATGAAAAAATTGCAACCATTTGCTATAAGTAAGACAGCAGTGTTAGAAAGAAAATGTGTGCTGTGCAGCTGAACTTTCATAGGCTTATTCTGAACGATTGTGCAACAATATATCGATAGAAAATCCTAAGTGGAATTAAACATTTTTTCTTTATTACCAAAAAATGTCAACTATTAGCTGTGAAATGATGACATGCCTTTGCAAGTAACTTCAAATCATTCTTTTTGAAATGACACAGGATATTTACAAATGTATATGAATCTTAAATATTGGACTTTTTACCAGGGATGTTTCATCGTTTTAAACTGTTAACAGTTAACAGGGTTCTTACACCCATGAAAACCAAGACATATTTTGACTAAAAAAGACACAAACTGTTTGACAAGTCTGGAAAGATTACATATTGGTCTTGCTAATACAGGGACGATCCATGTGAGAGTATTTTTTAGTACTTTTCAAGATTGCTATTGTGGGATTGTATGGATGGTTGATTTTTAATTTTATAAGCCACAAGAAAATGCCCTGAAACTTGTAAACCAAATGCAAATGTTTCTAAAAAAAAATATCAGGGTCAAGCCAAAAATTGCGTGCCTTTGCTGCTGCGTTGAAATGAAGGCGGCGTCGCCATGTTTTTCTGCACCAAAACATTTGTAGAGTGATTTATTATATGTATCATAGTGTCGTTTAACTCTCGAACTAATGTAAGGCGGGGACATACGTCCGCTAACAGCTGTGGACTTTTTTCCGGTCGTGCGGATGCGCACGCCGTACAATGCCAGTAATATATTACTTCCGGAGCACGCAGAAAATAAACAGCCCGTTTGGCTAAAGCGAATGTCGTCCTTACAGACAAGCATGAACCCCAGATATTAGCAATGAGATAAGGCAGCTTTGACACTTGAATCCATCCTCCGAAGGTAAGTGAGCTCATCATAAACCCTACACCACTCAAAGTATTGACGCTTCATCGTAAAATTACACGGTTAACTAGTTAACTGAGCCACTGTTGCTGGGCTCAATAGCGTTTGCTAAGGTTTGACTAGCCTCACTTGTGATCAGCGGGGTACTCTGAGGTTTAACCATATAGCCTATCTCTGTTGATTTAAGCGCTGGTTTTCCTCCAGACAGACACTGTATCCTTCTTGTAAGGCAGGAGACATCTGTGAGATCACTAATATACATTTGAAGATGTTACAGCAGCGCTGCATCACCCAGTGGCACAAGTGAGGCTAACGTTACTGTTAGCCTAGCCCGTGTCTCTACAGCTCTGAGACATAAGGCAACAGGAGGAGCCACTGTTAGTCTGAAGCTGACACCTGCTGCTGATGCCCTTAATGTTATAAAGAAAGTAAAGAATATACATCTTAAAAATGCCATTAGTAGTGTTAGGCTTGTTATTTGCTCATACATTTGACTTCTTGAGTGATCCATTAATTGCTAGGTCTATGAAATGCTAAAAAAAAGTCAAAAATAGCCACAATTTCCTAAAGCCCAAGGTGATGTCTTCAAATGTATTGTTTTGTCCAACCATCATCCAAACTCAAAGATAGTTGGTTTTTAATGAAATAAAACAAAAGAAGTAAGTCATCACATCACAGGTGGAATTGAGGAATATTCAACATTTTAAACTCAAAATTGTTACTTTATTTCTGTTAAGTTAATTGACTTACCATTGCTGTTTTACTGTAGTAATCACAGAAGAGTTACTGCAGCATGTTTATGATGTGGAGCTCAAAGAATAGCCAGGTTATAAAAAATTAATCAGCAACCAATCTTTCACGCATAAAATGCCAAACATTGCCTAGTTTAAAGTTTCTCAGTGTTGCTTTTCCTTGTCTTATGTGATCATATACTTTGGGGTAATATTTTGGGGTTTATGTTCAGATATAGATGTTTCTTCAGATTTTGGGAAATTGTGATTTTGTTTACAATTACTTACATTTTATCGAACAAACAATTATTTAAAAAAATAAATAAAAGAAAATCAGCAAATTTACAGATCATAAAAAATATTAGTTGGAGCTCCAAATAGAATGATTGTTTACTCAAAGGTGTCATGTACTTGTTTTAAATTTCATCAGTTTCTATTTATTTTATTTCCACAGATTCATCATTTGGCCCCAGCATCAGCATCCACTGACACTCAGAAAAACATGACAGAGCTACGCAACCCAGGGATGTCCTCAATCCCTCAGACAGCCCCAGTGCACAGCGACTCGACCTCCCAGGCTGTAGAGATGGACCCAGTGGAGTATACCCTTAGGAAGCGCCTCCCCCGGAAGCTCCCAAAGAGACGGAACGACGTCTATGTCAACATGAAGACTGATTTCCGGGCTCAGCTAGCACGTTGTCAGAAGCTTTTGGAAGGTGGGGGTCACAGGGAGATCTGTGTCCACGGCCTGGGCCTTGCCATCAACAGGGCTATCAATATTGCCCTTCAGCTGCAGGCCAGCAGCCAGGGGGCGCTGCAACTGGCAGCCAACACCTCTACAGTGGAGCTGGTGGATGACCTGGAGCCTGAAGATCCCGATGAGGCCGGGGAGCCCATGACGCGTACACGTAACAACTCGGCAATTCATATTAAGGTTTTCTACCCTGACCCTCAGTGACCTGAATAGAGGTATGCTCAGTGTGTCAGACAGTCCTATTTGTTTCCTCATAAATTAGTAGATCAGAAAACATTCTCTGTTGGGACAGTTTGTGTGGGGACCTATGACGGCAGCAAAGGACTGCAGAATGGCAGACAAGTATACAGTGTGTCTGTATCAGTGAATTATGTCATAATGGACAGCTTTAGTTGACTGGATATACTGTGCTGTTACTTTTGTCATGTATTGTGTCCTGCCTTTAAGTTTGCATGTCTTGAAGCAACAGTGGTGTTTTCCTGGTGAAACCTTGATGTAATTTAATATTTGAAGACATGGCTGTGCCAAATGTACAAGTGTCTTTAATTTTAAGAGACCCAAGAGTCTGTGTGAGTTTTTAGTTTCACGTCTGTGTTTTCAAAGATACAAAAAAGCAAAAGAAAGAGGAAATCCAAAGTTTATATTTCAAGCAGGTGTTGCTGAAGATGTCCACTAGATGTCAGTAGTCGGCTACACATAGGCATGCCAGGATGTTATCCCTCTGCAAGCTAAGCTGTATGGCACCATGTCACAATCCATTCTCAAAACTGGTTATGAGGGTTCAGCTGAGGGTCATATCATTGAACAGCTGCTGTTTTTTGTTTTGTTTTTTTTTTCTAAAATGGATGTAGTAGACTGTTTTCAGGAAGATGACGTATTTGATTTCTGGATAAAAATAAAAATTTCTGGATATTATACATACTGAATGTATATTTCTTTAACTATCAACTCTGGATCATGGGCAGGAAACTCAGATCAGGATGTATTGAGGCCTCTTTCATTTTTGACTTTTCACAGTGGTATGGATACCCTATTACAATCTCACATTGCTCCAGTTTCTAGGTGAAATAAGTTTTGTTCAGCATCTGTCAAAGCTTGATTGTTAACTCCACTGACCTGACCAAGACAAAGGTAATGAATGAAATGGACAGACTTCCCCTTGTTGTGTTTCCATCTATCCTTTCTTTATCCAAGAATAATATTTTGTATTTAAATAGCAAATTATACAGTGATGGGACAAAACACAAAAACAACAGGAAAGAAAACATGTACAAACATCCTTAAAAACATCTTGCACTTACACAACAAGATATAAAAATACGGAAAAAAAACAAGGAAGAACATTTAACTAATCTGAAATAGTTGAGCTTCCATTTTATAGAAAGCCTCAAGTTCCCAGGACTGACTGATTGCCTGTCTGCCGTTTGATGACGAACAATAGAGGGAGGGAGGAGACAGTGTTAGTGTCTGATACTGGAAAACTATTTGCAATTACAGCCTCACAGGATGTTAATTGTAAAAGCCAAACATAATTTTTCCGGACAGTCTAGCTATCAGTGTGTAGAGACTGGTTGAGTGTCGGTTAGGCAGCAACAAAAACACAGATAATGACAAAACAGCTTCACAGTTCTCATGTAACCCTCCTCCTCACTGACCTCTTGCTCCCTCGTTCACTGTAACTGAACCTCTGCATCAACCTTTTAGTCATTTGTTCTGTTATATGGATGGGACATGGAGCAGTGTGACACTGTAACAGCTAATCAGGTACATACAGTCTTTAAAAAAAAAAAAAAAAAAAAAAAAAAAAAAAAAAGGAAGTCAGCAGCGTGCCATTGCAAATGATGTTAACAAACACCTTTGCAAATGTATTCAATGAGAACATGGCAAGAAAAGCCCAACTAAAATCTTAAAGATCCAACGCTAAAAAAAACAAATACTTGAGCTTTAAAGTAGAAAATCTGTATAAATAGCAATTACATAACTTTTAAAAATATATTAGAATAAAAAAACCAATGAGACTAATGTTTCTGTGAGGCATAGTTGGAAAATGTTAAAGGCTTGAGGCCTCTTTCATTTTTGACTTGTCGCAGTGGTATTTGAAATGAATACCCTGTTGCAACCTCACATTCCTCCAATTTCCAGATGAAATCAATATTTTCTGGGTGTTTCACTCTAAAGAGATGAGTTTAGGGGTCAAACTCACTGGAAACAAACACATGCACACTACATGCAGATTTAAACTTGCAGTCACACAAACTCACACAAACAAAAGTACATCCACACACAAAGTGCAAGAGAGTGCCAGTAGAACAGCTTTTGGAGCAGTGCTTCCCAAGGGCCTCATTTTGGTCAGTGTGTGCTTCACCATGTCCAAGTGTCACATCTACACTCCAAGGTGCAATCATCTCCTGTCCATTCACAGCCAAGCTCGGACTGTCCTTTCCTTTCAGCTTCCTCCGCGTATGTGAGGATGGCTGTATCTTTCTTTCCACACCGCTTCCACCAGTCAGGGTGCAGGTCAACAGTGTCAAGTCCCTCTTCTTGCCTTTGGAAACACAAATTAGCTTTGCCTGGAGTAGGGAGATCAGCCGATCAGCTGACATCTTGCTGACAAGCCTGTGCATCCGAAAGGAGGAGGCGCACTTTGCCTCGCAAGAAATTGACATAGACTTGAAGCAAATCTGCTGCTGAGGACACCGTCCATGTTCCCTCAAGGCCAGCTGCACTTCCTGGTGGGGTATATTCCTGAAAGAGAATACAAAGGAGTGTGTTGCTCCTGCATTAATGTGGAAAATTTATATTTTTCAGGAGGAAGTTTTCCTCCTCTTTTGATGAAATCTCAAAACCCTTCATATGCTACATTTTCTCCTGCAGGAGTAAGCAAAGCAAGAAACATTTGCATTTGGTTTACAAGTTTCGGGGCATTTTCTTGAGGCTTATAAAAATTAAAAATCAACCATCCATACAATCCCACAATAGCAATCTTATCTTGAAAAGTACTAGAAAATACTCTCACATGGATCGTCCCTGTATTAGCAAGACCAATATGTAATCTTTCCAGACTTGTCAAACAGTTTGTGTCTTTTTAGTCAAAATCTGTCTTGGTTTTCATGGGTGTAAGAACCCTGTTAACTGTTAACAGTTTAAAACGATGAAACATTTATTTCAAAGAACCCTGTGCCTGGACACAGACTGCTCATTCATATTCAATTTGACTGTTCACAAGCCCTCGGCTGTGTTGTCATAACTTCAGCAACCTAAGAAGCTTGTACAGCAGCTTCAGTGCCCACAGCCCAGTCACGAAAGGCTTACAGTTACACTTAGAGAATGTCCCATGACACCCCTCAGTTCTCTATTACCAGAGAAAACACCGTTATTTCGGTACAGGAAATAATGTGGCACATCCGAAGCACATCTATTGTGGGTGATCAGAAAGAATCAAACAGCAAACTTCTTTGAAAATATGGACCTGTGTTGGGCACTTAAAGGTACTGGTTATCAGCACTGCTTTTATTCTGAAGCACATGTATTGCTGCAGCACTTCCTGAACAGAAATCCAATCTTTTCTTATCACTAAAAAGCTAGTACATGCCACCTAATTTAAGCTGAGACAGATGAACCACTTAGAGAGGTGGCTGATAACGCCTACAAAAGATAAGCAATGGAAGAGTGGGGTGTGTTTTCCCAGGGAAACATCTTTGACAAGAGGGGCTAGCCCGACTGAAAAGACTATCTAAACCAAATAACTGGAAAAAGCATGTACCTAACAAACATTCATCGCTCAAAAGGATTTAAAAAGGTTTAAACTATTTCTTTTGCAGGGTGCCATTCTATACGAATATATATTTTTAATTATCATTAGGCTCTTATCATACTATTAAAGTGACAAAAGGCTTCAAGTAAGCACTGCTGCTGACGCATTGTTTCTGAGTTTGTACCTCTGAACCTGCTGTTACTCACCTGGATGTTGAGACTACGCAGCACTGCATTGATGCTGTGCAGGTTTCTAATGGAGTTATCTATGTGACTGTGCAGTGCTGTGTTGGTGGCCGAGGACCGTAGCAAGCTGAGGGCCTGTTGTAAAAGCCATAAGCCAGCCTGCACCTCCTGGGCTTGCTCCAGTGCCTGACCAAAGAATGAAGAGAGGGCAAGAGTTGAAGGGTCTCAGTATGGGAGCGATAAGGAAACAAAGGAAGCAGGTAATCAGCTTTCTCATTACAAATTAACAAAAGTAACAGGTCCACAAAAAGTTAAAAGATCACACATTAAAGACAGCAAATTTCTATGGAGTTGCATGACACTTTATGGCTGATTTAAACATGTCACCTGTTTTAAGACTCAGTGGTTACTTACATTTTTCTTCTCCCAGACATCAAAGTCGACTCTGGTTTGAGGAACAGTGACAGAATCTGACAGGCTGCATCCATCTCTACATGACTTCTAAGAAAACAAGAGAGTAATAATACTGATAAATGTTCAGTGTGGGGGATTCCAGGGGCCGCCGTATTGCTCCAGCAGCCTTCACCTGCTCTTATGTCTTAGTGCATGCATACATTTTCCTCTCACCATAGCGACTTCTGCGTCTCGTGCTTCTTTAATGAAATGGTTCAGGACCCTCAGGTCACAGATTGGCCTCAGTGGGGACGGTAGGCCTGGCCGGGTCCACTCCAACACTATCAACAGCAAGGCAAGCAGTCCTGCCGTCACAGATACACAGACACAGTCACTCAAAGGCTGCTGGGCATTGAAACTGAATGAAAACAAGCTCATTTGTGCTAATAAGTAAACAGCAGCCGTGAGACAACATTTCAGACCCCTTTGATCTCCATGTATTTATGTGGACTCACGTTTAAGTCATGATAGTAGACTGACACAGTCTGCTAAAAGGAAGCAAGACATTTCTTATATTTTCCACACCATGCTTCATGATTGGGACATGCACCCATGGCTCTAGTCTGTTACAGTATCCTTCATACAAGTGTCACATTTAACTTTTGTCTCCTTTGTCCATAGAAAGCCGCTTGAGTGGCTTCGCATGGATTTTATTGGACAGGATCCCAAAACAGAACAGAGGTAAGGAAAAGTTTTACAGTTACAATAATACACAGACCAGCTATGGTACATCTGAACTATGCGACATTACAGCATCTGCTTTGGTCCAAGCCAGTTACTCATGTGGCAGGTGACAGCCATGATTTAAAGATGTATACCCGCATTGCTAAACCTGACCATGACCAGCTCACCCCTTCAGAAATGAATACTACCATTATATAAATGGGATTCATTTCAACTCCACCACCGTTTCAGTACAGTTTAAAACCAGAGAATATCCAGCAACCAAAAAAAAAAAAAACTACTATGCATTCATTTTCACAGGATAGTGATGAATGTGGGAACAATACAAAGCAATTCACTCATCATTTGCTCTCTTTTTATCACATTTTATATATATGAGAACCTCAAGACCTTAGGAACAACACTTTCTTTTGTAATGCATCTGACCTGTAGGAACCACCCTCATCTCCTGACGTTAGCCATTATATATATGTGTGTGTGTGTGTGTGTGTGTGTGTGTGTGTGTGTGTGTGTGTGTGTGTGAAAACACGTCTGGTGACTCTTCCATGCCTCTTTTTGCCAAGAGCTTCAGGGGTAATGACATATGATTTTTATTTTTTAAAATGTATTTATCTGAAAATACTAAATTCCCACGATTGCTGCCCTGTACCATCTTCAGAGCCAGAGTTTATCTGGTAACATAAAAGTATGAATGAGATTATTGATCCTAACAAAACTACGTTTTTTGTTCACCCACTGTAAATTCAAAGGTCAGAACAATACTCTTTGAGTAGCTAGGGATACTGCACCTTGGTAGAATTAATTACTATTATCTGGATAAATTCACTTGTCAAGACATAAGAGTGGATTTTACATTAGAAAATTAAAGGTGTCACAGACCTGCCAATATAAATATATACAAGCTGTATACCGGCTGATGATTTTTAGGGCTGTTTCATGTAAAGTCATCATGATAGCATGATTCAGCATGATTAGGCACTATCTCATTCATTTTGTTTCATTCTTACACATAAAACCTTGTGTTATCCTGGATTCTGAATAGAAACCTGCAACTATCATGACAATGCAGAAATGTCTGTGTCCGTGTTTAACCCTTATTACAATAGGGCTGTTCTATAATTGGACCATTAGTCAGCCTTATTCAGAAATCTAGACATTACTTCTAACCTTTCCTCAGGCAGCATAAAAGAAACTTTTAACTTTCGAACACAGCACATCTGAACTCCCAGGATATACTCGGCAATGAGAGATGTTCTGCTGTTGTGGGTCATGTGGGCATCCAGCCTCGTTCCCCTGTGCCACATGCTGAATGCACCCTTTCACAGCAGCCTGGATGTGTGACGCAAACGACTGATAGAAAACACAGATGATCTTCCCAGGCAGACAGGTCAGATACAGGCTAGATTAAATTCCCAGACTCCTACATAACCAGCACAAATGGAGCCAACCTGCAAGAAAAGGTTAGACTCAGTTTGCAGGTTTGCAGGGATAAGAAGAAATAATGTCTAGAATTATAATACCGTTACTAGAAGTACAGTAGTAGTGGTCCTTTAAGAGCTCAATAGTATAATCAGCTTAAACTCCATGCCCTCTTTTCTGCACAGTAGTGACTCATACCTCTCCCCGTGTTTCACACAAACATTCTGTAAATTCTGTGTGTACATAGCAGTAGTGGTGCACAGTGTTCCACAACTTCCCAAGCTACTAGCTGCTCCATGCCCATTAGTAACAGTGTTGCAGCCTCCGTGGTCCCCCGAGCAAGCACTTGTAATCCCTGCAGATTTATAGTGAATGGGGGTGCAACACACACACCCCAATATATGCACACAACCGGTATCATCAGGTGTGTAACATTCACTAGCACTTATGGACGTGTATTTTCAAACAGTCTCATTGAAAATGACTATTTGCCCATAATGAATGCGAGACGTAAGCACGGCAGGAAATGACTAGTGAATGGGACAAATTATGAAGCATTTCACTCAGAGAATCCTACGACATGGCCTTGTTTTCATCCTGTTGGCTGCTAAGTGGCCATTCCACTTAAGCAAGACACTGTAATTTATCTTCTAGTGAACAAATGTACAAAAGTCCACCAGTAAATTTACCAGACTTTAAATCTTTGGACATACGGTCCTTTTCAGACCTCCTATGATACTCAACAGTATATACAAGCTGTGGAGGTCTTTCTACATCATCGTTCCAGAGCAAAACTTCAGATCAACATTGTTCACTTCTGAACCATGAACACCTAAATAATCTTTAACATATAGAAGTTTCAAAGGCAAAGTGATGTCTGCACAGACAGAGTAATGGCCTCTTTTCCACACACTTTGCACTTTGATATTTGTCAATTTCCAAAACGCGGCCACTTTGTGAAATAAGTGTGTGACTCAGCTTAAGGATTATCGGTGACCTTTTCACCTCCGCCATTGCCTACGTGAGAATGCGTCAATCTAAACTGCGTATGCGCGTGGACACACACACACACACACACACACACACACATGCTTTCTCACACATACACACACATACACACACCCTCTTGCTCTACATTCTCACCACGGTGGTGGAATTTGCAGTCCAGGACTGTGGCCAAACTTAAAAGTTAACAGCTTTGTCTGCTAACATCAGCTGCCAAAACCATGTTGCTATTTTGAATTGGAAGCAGTGGTCCACAAGTGGCAGTGCTTTGGATAATGGCAAGCTTCTATCCAGGTATGTGACAGATGGTTTGGAAAGGTGAGCAGATGCTCACGTGAGACGATGCCTTTGACATGTGCTATTTTAACTAACTCATGTCAAGCGTGCACAGAAAGAGCTCGGCCATTTAGACCCACTTGCTCGGTTTGGTACTGATGGTTAAATGGCACAGAGGGCTGATAAGGAGATACTATTTTAAGTACATCTCAGTGAGGTGGTCGATGAATGCTCTGCGACCTCCTCTCTATTTTGAACGGGTCTTCCCCATGACAAAGTGCAGAGTTGTAAATAAGTAGCTATCAGGTGACACAGGTGTGACACAATTTCCTGTTCGGCTCCGCTGGAATTCCATATAGCTGTCAGCCTTTAATAACCTTTTGCTCTTTTCTGCTGACATAAGTATGTGATGACTGTGCCAAAAACTGCACATTCAGCTTTCGCATTCAGTACCCTCCACTCTGCTGTGTCATGCTGGAGAAGAATGACTGGAGATATACTGTATTTTCTCAGTGAACTAGACAGAAAAACAAACTGATCATCAGTTCTCTGAAACTCCTCAGGAGACCATTTTATCTTCAGGGCCTTACAGTAACAGGAAATAATGCATCTGCAGCATGTGTGGGGAATTAACCCCGCAACCCCAACAAAAATACAGTGCCTTGCTCTAGTCGGTAAGGTTCAGGACCAATATGATGCCATGCGTCAACTTCATCAGCAGCTTTAAAAAGATTGTTTTCATAAGACTCAAGTGTCTCTTCTCCCCATTATTAAGTTTGTTCAGGGTCTTCATTTAGGAGTGATTTTTTAAAAGCTCAAATGATGAATGGCTACAGAGAAGATTATAGTTTTGCAGCACAGTCTAATGTATAGCAGTTTTCTAGGAAGTGGCATTACACAATCTATTTACATGAACTGTGTTAAATATACAATCCCACAGCATGCAGAAATAAGTCTTAGAACAAGTAGGATGTGGTGTTTGGCAGAAATCAGGACAACTTAGGCCAAAGTATTCAAAGAAACCCAGACCTCCAGAGACGCCTCAAGTACTCTCAAGACTGAGTATTCACCCATACACACGTAGAATATGTGAATACTTAATAGCTGCAAGCTACATCCATACATCTATGAACGTGTCCTAAAGCACTAAGCATACAGACTGGTGCAGCACTGAGGTAATGACACAAAGTAACGCAGCAGACTGGATAATGTTACAAGCGCTCTTACCTCTACCCGTTTTCTGCAACATTCGCAAACAGGTGCCGCATCTTTTAAAAACATTGTGAAAGAATTAAAGATTTGCACAAGCTTCGCGGCTCAAGTTAAAGGCACCAGTCAAATCCAATAAGTCCAACATACAGCCAAGAGCGCGGGACTCAGCGCTAGTCCGACCAGCGTGTAGGTCCGTGTCAAAAAAGCTCTGTGCTGCTGGTGAGAGCAGTCACCTACCAGGCTTTGCATCACCGCTGTGCTTTGGCAAAACCTTTTATTTACCTCCCCTAAGGATATAGCGATAACGTGATAGCCCGCAAGGACGAGGACGCGCCTTTTACGCACCACAGTCAGCGATTAAACATCAACCCATGCATGAAGTCGCCCTTTGCGTAAAGCGTGAAAATAGACTAACGACTAAAGCCAGAGTACAGAGAAAAAAATCATGAAGGCATGTCCATAACTCACTGGGAAACTCCATAGCGGTATCCGCATAGCCCTTCACAGGGTCCTCGCGGTTTGGCCCATAGGTCCGTCTATTGCCCATTAATTGGAAACGAAGCTCTTTTGTGGATCTCTTGCACTTATCCGGTAGGTGTTTCTAAAAACTGATCCTGTTTGATTTTTTTATTGATGACTTTGAAAATAAAGTGGCATTGTTTCTATGATGACAATCTAAACTACCTCCTCCCTTAAGGCAAAATTGTTTTCTTTCATTGTTATCCAAATAATAGCCGATCCCTGTTTATAAAACATTTGGCCTAAAAAGTAAATAATGTCTCAAAAAAAGCCTTGCGGAGACTTCCCATCCATTGTTCGGATGATTTTCAGAGACGGTCATTAGAGTAGGCCCAGTATATTTAAATACACTTAAAAAACTGATAGTATAAATATTGATAATAACAAGTAATTTAGTCCTGATTGTCAAAATCATAACATTCTTACAATAAGACCATCACTGTCATCTGCCATGGCGCATTCAGTGACCACAGAGGTCTAACGATGTGACACAAAAATAATATAAATCGACCATATTATTGCACTTTTCAACGATCTGAGACATGACAATGAGATTACATTAACAAAACCTGTGCACATCCATTATCATGTGTTATTGTATTGTGTGCATACTGTAACTGCAGAGATACCACCTTGCAGGTGCAGTCAGAGGACAATACAGCACATGAGGCACAGGTATAATTTTAAACACCCCTGCCCCCTTTCCCACAGTGAAACGCATCCTCAGATGTTTACAGCGTGTGATCATCCAAAACTTCCACCTGAATATCTGCACCCTGGCACTCATGTGTCAAGGTCATTGAAACATGATTTGCTATGAGCAAGATATATTAAGTTTATTATTATACAGCAGACAGCCTAGTATTGTATGTTGTGAGCAAAGGAAAATCATGTTAAACTACAAAATAAACAAAATAAGGATGAGGGAACGGGGAATCAGAGATTGACACTGAAGTAAAAGCTGATTGATTATTTAATGTATTTCCAATTTTAACAATCAAACAGTGTAGAAAGGCTTAGCTATTAAAAAAATCTAATGTTATCTATTGGTGTGCAGCTCCAAACAACAAACCACAAGATGAAAAGAGACAGTCAGCCAGCCACATCAGTTTACCTAGTTCAGATTTTTTCTTGCCCTCTGTTAATGTTCTGTTCTTATTGTTATCATTTGTGTTGTGAACTGTAAAAGAGGAGCAGGCTAAACTTGAACTTATACACAAGTTATACTGTACATGGTCAGTGATATAATGACTTTACGTAAAGACGGGACAAATTAAAGGAAACACCTGAATGAATGATTGAAGAAACATAAATGAATGCAGGTGCGTTTATGCAGGGCATGAGGGTTCACGACCAGTCAAATGAGTATGAAAATGATGGGATTCATATGCTGTGGAGCAACATGTTAGTGCTCTCCATCTCCACCATCAACAAAACACCAAATAAGGGGATCCCATTCTTTCTTCTTTTGAAGAATGGTGTTCAGGAAGTGAACCCTAATGTAGAGAAAAGACTTAATTTTCTTATCAATCACATGCTGTATGTGAAAACTCAGGTATTTGTTTGTGACAGAACAAATACCTGAATAATTTAAATACCACTTAAAGCACTTCAAGTATTGAACACCTGAACAGAGATTTTCGAATGTGAGTTTTGCAAAGTCAGACTTTCCTAATTGAGCCTTTGGGAGTGTTTGCAGTGTTGTTTATACCATCAAAGCATTTTTACTGTCATGCCACAAAAAAATATTTTTTTGTGTTTTCCCACCACTGCAAGTCTTACACTTCATGTAAGTACAAAAGACACGACTTTAAAGAGAGAGGAACCCTGCTCTGTTAACTGACTTATGTTCACTCTGATAACTAGTCTTAACCAAGTCATTCGAGTCCACGAACCAGAACTGCATGACAGAAAAGAAGTGGAACAGCAAGAAATATGAGAGAACAGGAGTTAGACAAGAGCTAGACTGATGCAGATAATCAACAGAGAACACAGTGGGGCAGATTAGTACTGATGCTGCTGCTGAATACGATAACACATGACCTCTTGTGATCAGGAGGTCTCAGAATAAACTGTAATGTAACCTGAAGAGAAAATGGGCTGCTAAATATGCAAAAATCAAAGTGAACAATGAATGGTTTAACTGCAGTGTGTTTTCAAATCCGATTTTCACACAGATTTTTTAAAATCTCACTTTAACTTTCCAGGTTCTGCACATCATTGGAGTCATTATGGAGAGTAAACACTTCTCTGCTCCTCTCATGACCTCTTCTGAGACATCCTGATCATTATCAGTCATGCTTGATATACGGTATATTGGTCAGATGAAGCTGAATTGTCCCTCTGTCCAGTGTTAAGGAACAAATTAATCCCAGATAATGTCAGATGTCCTCTGACAACCTCTAGTGGATGCCTGGCCCGATGACCAATAGACACCGGCTCTGATAAAGCTTCTACTGTGATAAGGTGACTGAGAAACTCACCAGCTTCTCTCACAAAAGACATCTGTCAACAAGGTATTAGTGCTCTCAATATACAGTACAGCTTCTCAAGTTATGACGATGTTGATCTGAAACATCAGACTTATATCCAAAATACACTGGATATATAAATACAACTAATTACAAATTGATTGAAAGAGTCCCCACCCCCTCATGTAGAATACTACTTTCAGTAAAAACGACAGTCAGTGAACTTGATATGAGGAAATGACTGATCCTGACCCAGGTACATGGAGTAACTGATAATGACTTATCTGTGCCATCATCAAAACACACTATCTGCTACAGGAGAATGCTACAGGCAGGTTTCAAGGAATCTGTCCATGTACAGCATGAGTGTTTTTTATCATAATATGGCTTTCATGTCATACATTTAAACAAATAGGCCAAGCCAGGGTGGTATTACTGATTCAGTGCACAATACTGAATATTTGTAGACTTATGGATGTTAAATATGTAATGTAACGTAAATTATAAATATCCAATTAGGACTACTCATTAGTTCGGTGCACGAGTGTTAATAGATGTCATAAAGCAATTCTTCTCTCTGCACAGACGTGTGTTATGTCCCATGTCCTCATCCTGAACCTTGACCCAGAGTAAAGGAAATATATTGAAATTTCCTGGAAGTCTCCAGTGTGTGTCACCGGAGGAGGGGGTGTCTTCCACTGGCTACAGGAAGTGAAAGTATGTTTGCATATGCATTATCAGGGGCCAACATGCAATGTGAAGTGATACACATAGCTTCTCTCGCACAAATACTCGGAAACGCTGATAAAATTCACCAAGCTTGCACGTTAGCATGTTTACTATTTCATAAGCCTATGTAAGGTGCATGTACAGCACGCACACGTTAATGTGTACACAAGCGCAGGTGCAAATAAAAGGGCAAGAATGTCAATATAGAAAATTACTGAAAAAAACTGAATTGCAAAAAGAAATGATGAGCAGTATTATATTGTGACTAATGCCAATATCAAAAATACAGGATTATTCTAAGTGATATTTACATTAATGCATTACCTTTTAATCAAGAGCTAAGACAGAGTCTCTAACAAGGTTTCTGGATTTTTACTTTTACTTGTTCCCTTTTTCAAGTGTGACGCCAAATCCAAAAATGTTATGCACAAGTGGAGTGCTATTAAGCATTTTATATAAATTGATTACACACATACATGTCTTAAATATTCTACTCATAACTGATGGTCATTTTAAAGACAATCTTTTCTAGGTTTAAATATTTATGTCTATACTTCTTCTGATATGAGTCAGCTTTAATACTACTTAGTTACCAGAGTACTAAGCCAAAAGCCAATGTTGACAGATTGTTGCACTGTTTGCTCAGAGGGCTGTTTGCTTATGTCTGAGCCAACATGAGAGAGAGAGAGGAGAGGGAGACAAGGTACGTGCTGCGAGCCATGCTTCATGACCAGGGCAGGGGATTGGGGCGGGAGGTGAGGGATGTGTGGAGAGTGCGGGGGCAGGGGGGGTCCAGTCACAGTGACTCCTTGGTTGGAATGGGACACAGTTATTGAATTTAAGATGATTTGAAAGAGGAGGGGTGATGTAAAGTTGGGGATAAACCCAAATGCTCTTTCCCTGTACCACAGTAGTTAATAAACAAAGACGGGCATGGGTGATGCGTGGAACCTAATGAGGGGGAGGCTTTATCGCACTATATAAGAGGCAGTGAAAGTGCAGAGATGTCACGTTGGAGTATGTGTTTTTGTGTTTGTGCTTTTCGCTTTCTCATCCGGGTTTTGGGCTCGCAGCCAGCTGAGTCTACTCCTCTGGCGCGACACAAGACAGGAAGCTGACATAAAAGAATGAGGGGACCGACTGTAATGGACGCAGGAGCCAAGGCAGGAGCCAAGACAGTAGCCACTGACGAGGTCGGAAGTTATTGTTTCAGCTTACAGGCATCCACAGTGACAAGATACTTATCACTCTATTGAACTTATGGTGATCCCATGGTGATAGCCACAAGTGTGGAGAGCATTCCAGGACAGGAACCTCATAACTGGAGTTTCTCCCTGAGCAAATGCTTTCATGTGGCCCATGAGTAAAGAATTTAACCCCCTAAAAACTTTATTGAGCTACTTGCTGGCCAACAAACCAACACTGTGGTTACAAAACAAGACAATAGGCAACTGTATAGACCACTCAGAGAATTGTTTCAACTTCTCTGGATAAAATTGGATTAACAAGACTAAAGGTCTGTCCCATTACCCACACTTGCCATATTGAGCACTGAAGTGCTGATTCACGTGCCGTCAAGTAGTTGGCAAGTGTGTCAGAACCAGACTAAAAGTCTACAGCGGCGCTATCAGCTCTGTGAGGCTGTACTTTGGCACTGCTTTGCTTTGAGCTACATGCCTTTGCCAGACCGCTAAGGTGCTCATAATTAAAATGCAAACATGCTGCTGTTTAGAGCGAATAATGGTTACCGTGTTCGCAAGCTAACATTTGCTAATTGGCAATTAACACCACGTACACCAAAGGCTGATGGGAACATCATTAGTTTTGCAGTCATAAACAACTTGAAATATTGACCTGATTGTGTGGTAGAGGAAAATTTTAAGGATGACAAAAAATATTAAAAATCCTCTTGTACCAACTTTCAAGGACATGACTTGATGATGACTTGAGCTCACTCAAAACCACAACCATTAACTTCCTGGTGGCCCATGGGGGAAAGGTCAAGGGAATCACCAAAGTGTACATTGTGTAAGGACCATAAATGTCTGATTTGATCTGCTGGTGGTGCTAGATGAAAAGTTAGGGCGTCACCAAATTCATTAGTATTCATCTTGTGGGTTGTCACTAAAACAATGTCAGTCTGCTGGTGGCACTAGAGAAAACTTCAGGGGATTACCAAAATCAGTAGCTTTCATCCTTTACAAAAAAGTCCCTGGCAATCCATTCAATAGTTGAGAGTACAGTCAGTGGACCGAGTGACCGACATTGTATCTGTAGAGTCACGACAGGAGAATGGCTGAAAACTATTAAATCAGTTCCTTGCTCCGGGGTTTCCATCACTTTCTCTCAAGACGTAGAGTATTTCTGTTTGTCAGTCAAATAATTCATTAATCAAACATTTCTGGCCTCTTGTTTAAATGAGTCCCTATTTTACCTATTGTTACTGACACTCAGCATCCTTGCATTTCTAGTTCATTTACAGCTGGTGAAAAGGACTTAACTATACCTGCCTTAAATACTGTAACATCTAGCCCTCTATCACCAACAATGTCACATCCTTAACCATGCTCCCCCTTTTTCACCTTTAACACTCAAACCTGTGTCCCTTGTGTCTTTTCTTTTTGTGCATTTTTCCTCCCGTCTGGTATTCTTCCTGTTGCCAAGCTGCCTTGTGTGGTATTTTTTCTGGCCTAGCTGCCCCTAGCCTCACACCTTCTGTTATTCTGTTATCCAATGGGCCTCTCATCACTTGTCATATCCACTTCATGCCCACCCACCCCCCTTACCGCCGCCACTCTTGGCTGTCCTGTCTGCTATTTCTCTGACTTGCGAGCCCTGACTGTATGCCGTGTACTACTTGAGACTGCAGGTTTTACATTCCAACTCAACCTTTCACCTCAATTGTATTCAGAACTATGTGGGTATAAATATATATTGAGAGTCTATCCTTAGACGTGCACCCATTCATTCTGACTGTCTTAGTTTGTGTGGTTGGGTTATTTACACTTTCACATTTAAGAAAAGACAGACAACTTACTGGTAACACAAGCCTGATAGACAATAGGACAATTGTCTTACATTAAGTGATAATCTGATTACTTCAGTATGTGTGTGCTTTTGAAATTTACAGCCATAGTAAGTGGAGTAAAAACACTAGAGCATTATTCTAGGCTCAACGTCTCCCTTGTGCCTTTCTCTAATTTACCTTTCTCCATTTGCACAAGAGAAAATAAATACTGTATATTCCAATGTAACTTCACTGTTTTAAGTCAGCCCATGTCTTGTATTGCATTGAACTAAAATGCCACTTGCTTTCTTATCTAATCCAGCTTGGCTTTTTTTCTCTTGCTGTATCAGCTCCACACAACTGCCTGGCTGCGCTGCGAAGGAACATACTTGCCATTAGGTATGTTATCAACAAAATTGTTGGGACTTCTGCCCGGAATAGGGACACTGTGGTCCAGTTGCCTTTGACTTTGCACTTCTAGGTATGCCAGGATAACCTGGATGACCGAGAATTCTCACGGAGTTCAGCTCATAGTGGCAAAGTTTGGCACAATTCAAGTGTCACGTGTGACGAATGGCATACTTTTTGCAACTCTGTCTGCTAGGAATTATGTTTTTATACAACTCATTTATTTCGACAAACATGTAATTGACAAAATGTAATTGCCTGAGTGAAGGAAGAGTTACATGTATACAGTATACTGCACAGGACTAGTGGGTGGATGGTAGGGATACAAACCCAGGACTTTGACACCAGAGACAGGGACTCACATCCTGAGTGCAACATGTTTGATTTAGGCAACAAAAGTACTTGTTTTAGTTAATTGTTAATAAACACAGACCTCATTTGACTGTTTCAATATTTAACCAATACTGTGATCTTTCCCAAACCTGGACAAAGTGCTGTTAACGCCTAAACATAACCATAAAATGATTCTGTTGCAAGAGAGGATATTGTAGGGAAAACAAATGAAATACATTGTAAGTGTTATGCAGATTAATTCTGTATCAACACTGTGCTATGTAATGGGTACCTTAATTGACATTATCCCCTCATTATGCTGATAAAAAAAAAAACATGATTCAGGCAACATCCCGTTGGCTGTGGAAGGGCTGAGATATCTCACAGTCATATTCACTAGCAAGGATTATCCAACTAACTGCCAACTGGAATCACTTGTGACAAATAATAAAGAATGGACCTCAACAAGACCTTGGTTTCCCTTTCTATGCTGAGAGGCGCCAACTAAGGTAGACATCAAACAACAAACAAAACATTATCTGATGGGCCATGCCAAGACCAACACTTGCATCACATACTCCACTGTAATACATTAGTCAGGACATTTGATACAACAACACAGGAAAGCATTACGGTGGAGGAAAACGTGCCAAATGTCTAAAATATGATTAATAAACTATTAATAATAAACATTTCAACTGGCCACTCATGGAAGTCACTAAGGCCAAACCACTACTGAATCTGGATGGCTGAAACTAAAATTCGTATACGGGGTTTTATCTGCAGGAAAAAGCTCATGCCTGTCACACTGTGACTAATTATTCAAAACAGATGCACACAATCTAAAACTGTGTAAAAAATTCCATCTGAAATATGTGGGATGAACTTAGTATGCAAATAAATTCAATTTAGTGTTTAGCATAATCAAAACATGATGGCACGATAAGACATTTGCCATGAAACCTATTCAAGTTTCCCACTTACGTCTAAGTGAAACACACTGTCAGGTCTCGTGCTATATAAAATGCTGAAGCTAACACTAATTTGATAACAGTATTTAAACAGAGCCAATGCATCCTAAAGTCTTACAATGCACCGATCTGATTTTATCAGCTTCTAAACATAACTAGAGTCACATCACTGTTCAAACCACACACTTACAGTATCATGCACCAAAGCCAAACACCACAGAAGTTAATGTAACTGCTCAGTTTCAACTATTCCATCCACAAAATTCCAAGAGAAAAATGTTGTTCTTTGATGATCTGTGGCGCAATTTTAAGAAAATCATTTTGGATGAGAGAAAGGTCAGCATATTATAGGTCCTCGTCAAAATACAATAGTTAATTACATTAATACAATGGCTTGTTTTCAGGGATAAAGATCAAGAATAACTGTGGTCTTGATGTAATGGAATAAGACACTGCGCCATGAAATCAACCAGGTTTCCCATTTGGTCTGTCACATTTCCTCTCACGGGACTAGACAAGTGTTTCTACTGCAGACAGGGGACGCAAAGCACATAGAGTGCATGGCTGTGAAGCTGTCCCATTCTTACCCCAATGTCTGTTTATTCTAGTATGCTTGTTGCCTCTGAGATATTTTAAGTTCCATTGTAGTTCTTTGACCTCTTTGTGGAAATTCCTCACGGGTTTGTTTTCATGGCTATCGATTTTAATGGTGGAATGAACGACCCATTCTTCAGTCAGGATGAAACCACTACTTGTCTGCCTCAGATGAGACACACAGTTGTAAACAGGATTTCTATCAAGTCACCTCATAAGTGCTGCGCTAACTAAAGAAAAACAGGTTCAAGCCCCTACTGTACATGGATAATAGTAACTTCAACAAATCATTTAAAGTAATGTTTACAGTATAATATAAAAAAAATACATATTATCACTTTGAAAATGGGTCTTTGTTATGGGTCTGTGTTTAGTTCATATCTCCTCAAAATATGCATGATTTGGTATAGGAGCATCCTCAGTCAAAAAAGGAACAGCACTGGCATACATAGCGCTGGGATACACATGAAGTGTTATACTACACACAGACATAGTTACATGTAGTTTACATAAACACTATTAGGTAGCATTTAACTGACACTGAGATGATGAAGGCATCCTCCGCCAGCGAGAAAAATGGCTCTCCTCCTTAAATGGGTTTTCTCAGATCCATTGCTCCGTTTAGATTATGGCAGTTTTATCTCCTCTGCCAACATTTTGTCAGCAGTGGTGCATGGGGGAGCTTTTGTGATGGCTATGGTAAAACACTGCTGTAAACGGCCTCCAGGGTTCAAAGTAATCAAAAAATAAATCCCCACATGAAGGGGCTTTAAATGCATTTTGTAGGTGACTCCAAGTATAAATCAGTAGAGCCAGTGCTGTGGCGTGCTATTCATGGCTTTAAACTGAACTTATTTCTCTGAAGAATCTAAATTTCAACTTTCACAAGGAGTCACAAGAAAAGCAATGTGATGGATGCTTTATTGTTAAACTGCAGTCCACTGTACCCACTTATTTGTAAAGTTGGAAAAAGGCTCTTTAGTGACCGATTGACAGACGGCCTGTCCAATGAGAGCGTGGCAGGGTGTGAAGTGGCCCGACTGTTGTGTCAGCCTCGTGCTTCTTTTCTGTCAAACATATGTATACAAAACTGTTTTAGTTAAGTTCCTATGGTCTTCCTATCATTTGCAAACTGGAAAAAAAAAAACTCAAAAAAGTGTAAAGGCTGAGGAACCTGTATCTAGTTGAGGTGTGTGTGCATTGTGGCCACTGTTCTCCATCGTTAAGCAGTCATCGGAGTCGCAGCATTCACACAGGGCACTGTCTCCTTCTGTGGCACGCCAGCTGAATAACAGAGAAACCTGATCCTGATAATACACCTCAGCTCTGATGCCTACACTAATAAAATACAATTTACATCAGTGGACTTTAAACTTAACTGCAGCCTAACCTGAATGTAGTCCCATGGAAGAAGCAGGCTTTATAATGGTGGCTATGTGAGTTTTGTTTCAGAACTGCCCTAAGGTGGCAGCTGATGAACATCTAGAGGAAGAAAGCTAAATTAATAAAGTACATTTGATTCAGTATTCATTTCAGCAATATCATGAATATGTTGTGTTGTTACCTGTTCCTCAGACTCCTGCTTGAAGTGGAAGGCTTGGAAACTGAAGCACAGTCTGTTATCCTGCTCCCTATGGAGGAATTTAGATGAAGATCCAGGTAATACACTGTCCACAAGACATCTGTAATGGAGAAGAAACACATGCTCCATGAACTCAAATTTAGACATGATGAGATTTTGTTGTGATGTGTGTTTTATGTGTTGAACTATCCATAGATGAGCATTACTTTATTAAGCTAATTATTTTTTAGTCAAAAGGATAAACTGACCCATTCTTGGTGATAAACTTGTAGCTTGGCAAGGACAGTGGGTCTGGCTTTAGTGTAGCAACACAGTAGTCCACATATACAGTGAGAGGAGGGTGCAGCGGGGCCTCCACACTGGCCTCCAAAAACACTGCTTCCCCCTGCTGGTACACCGAGGAACTATGCAGAGAGGTGTAATCATCTGTGCAAGAACAGGCATTTTTTTCAGTTCCAATTTCATATTAATTAGAAAAAAACTTTTCACTGATGAGTCTAGATTAAGTAAATTGGTTGTTTCACCTGCCATGGTACGGAGGGAGAAGTGCAGAAGGCCAAAGACACTGATAGTGGATGTCATGGGTAGCCAGGTCGGGGTTAATGGTTCTGCATTCACTGTCTGCTTTCTGTGCTTACACAAAAATAAGGTACAGGTCATACAATTGCAAAATGTTGATTATTTCAATCCTTGACTTTGCTAAATTAAATAGGACAGAGCATAAATTTTAATCTAGAAAAGTTTACTGCACATACATGAGAGTTCATATAAAAAGGCATCAGCCTTACCTCTTATAATGGCACTCAACAGGTATGACAGTAGTTCCTCCTCTAACGATTACACTGCCGGAAGAGGTAGGAACCAGAGCAGGAAACAGTAACAGCTGGTTGGAATACACCAACCACTCACCATGAACCTGGATAGTAGCAATAATAAAAGAAATGACAAGAAGAATATCAATTCAAATATATATATGAATATATGAATTCAGTTTCCCCACACACCTGACTACTAGGTGTGCATTACACTACACTTCCTTGGATGATTGTGAGATTGCATAAAGATAAAATTAACTAGACTGAGGCTCAAGCATAATTTCAATGAAGTCAAGCCACTCCAGTATAGGCCTTTTTTATGGCAGGTATTTTGACATGTCACAGTAGGAAAAGGACAGACACAACTGTAAATGTTGCGGTTTACTGGACACTAATTACGCAGCCAAATTTGTGCTTCATTATTAGCTATGCTTTTCATGTCTGACAGTTTTTTTGAATAGAGTATGTTATTATCTGAGGTTTCCCTTGCTGACCACTCCCCCTTTTCTTACACTGGACTCTGTCCCACAGTCATGCAGCCCTGCAGAGATGACTATTGCACGGTCAGACATTTGTCCCTTTGGTCGGCACGACCACTCCTGTGTTGAGTTCGGTCCAAGTCGAACATGTTCGGGTTTGAACGGAATCCGTCTCTCCTCGAAAAACTGTCGCTTTACGGTTATTTTCAGTTGGACTTCTCCGCATTCTATTTCAGGGCCGATACTTTCCCGAGCTTCTTCAGCAAAAGAAACTCCGCACAAAGATAGTACAACCATGAAAAGGGAGACGAGTCCTGTGTATTTTACCAGGAGGGCCATGCTTCAAGGAGTAAACAAGCTATAGCGACTGATTAATTAGTTGGTGTTGTTATACCCAGGTGTGTCGAGATGTGTAGTGTTCTCCTGCACTGGACAGATCTTATGCTGCCTTCAAAGACTGAAAAAAACATTGTAAGACACAGAACAAAACAAACCAGCATAAGCTACGACTTTCACAGGAGATATGATGTACAAAACAAAAATCAGAAAATTGTTGATTAAAGGAAAACTTGGTGCTGCTCATTACTGCTACTTTGTCCCACTTTATCTCGACAATTAAATAACTAACATGTAATTGAAGTTTTTTTTCAGATAAAAAAACGTAGAAAAGATTCAATTAATGTAACAAAATGAACTTCCAAACAAATAAACCGACGATAAGTTATGTTTGCAAGAAAGAAAGGGAGCGAGCGAGCGAAACGCTCTTGAAGGCATCACTGTCAGTGCGGTATAAAGACGGAACTCAAATATTATTGCGAGTGCACCGTAGGGACAGTTATTACAGTTACACCAGGCGACTGTCGGATGAATAACTAGTGTAACGTAGAATTAGGAATGTTTGAATTTGCATTAGGTTTTATATGAGATGTGTACTCGGTAGCGACCAAATGTAAATATGAATGAACAGGTTGTAGCAGCGGGATCTGAGGATATTGACTGGGGAGTCAGTGGAGCTGAAGAGGGGAGGATTAAGAAGTACAACCCCTTATCAAAGAATGTCCACACCAGTCTTCCCAGTCCACTTCCAGATCCTGTGAAATGTACTCTGGTAAAAGGAGACTACCTCTACTTCCATTATGGCTGTGATGGACAAGATGACAGAGGCTGGGGATGTGGCTACCGCACCATCGAGACAATGGCTTCATGGATCTGCCATAACTGCTCTCCACCTAAGTACCAAACCAGACCCCCACCAAGCCTCCCAGAAATTCAGCAAGCCTTGGTTGCAATGGGGGACAAGCCAGGCTCCTTCTCGGGTTCCAGAGAGTGGATAGGAACCTTTGAAGCCTCTCTGGTGCTTGACTATTTCTATGATGTGCCCTGTAAATTGGTACATATTAGAGGTGGAGCAGCAGAGCTTGAGCATGTTGCAGTGGAAGAGCTCCATCAGCACTTTGAGAAGCATGGGTCTCCAGTCATGATGGGAGGGGACAGGGACAATTCATCTAAGGGGATATTAGGGGTGTGCACCGGGGACAAGGGGAGCAACCTGCTGGTCGTTGACCCTCACTACTATGGATGTCAGCTGGAGAAGACAGAGTTGCAGAGGCGAGGCTGGGTGGCGTGGAAAAGAGTATCGTCTCTGGATCAGACTTCTTTTTATAATCTGGTATGCCTCAGACTGCCAAAAAAGTGATATAAACTAAGTGGCAGACTTATACCTGTTTAAGACTGACAAATTATGGACTATAGTAAAGATGACCTTTGTTTTGTACTGTCAGTATGTATTTTTAAAAGGAGCTATACTGCCATCCTGTGGATGAAATTAATAATTACAAATTACTTGAAGAACAAACCAATAAAACAACCTGATGATCAGTCTCTTCACTATTGTTCAATTAAAATTCTGTTGAATCTAAAATCTTCTTTGACATCCCCTTAATTGTTTCTTTTGTTGCTTCAAAACTAAATGCTTCAGTTTATATTCATTTGTATTACATCACATTCTTTGTGTGAAGATGCAAATGAAGCCAAATAACAAAAATTGTGGATTAGGATTTTAAGAGATTGGTAGTGAGAGTGATTGTAGCATTATATGCTCTATATATCGTGAATATTATTTATAAGCAATGTAATGTAAAAATGCAAAAGATTCTCTGGTTCCAGCTTCTCAAATGTGAAGATTTAAAGTATTTATTTTCCTTATGTAATGGTAAACTGAATATCGTTCTCATTTTTCAATTATTATTTTCATATGCATGCATCACCTTTGGTTTCTGGGACATTGTGATGGACATTTGTTTTACTCCCTGACTTTTACAGACCAATTTATGATGAAAATAATCTGCAGATTTATCAATAATGAAATAAATCATTATATGGACATTTGGACTTAATGAGACGCAGACTCCGCAATTCTTAATTTATTGCTCACAATATATAATTTGACAACCCATCTCAGTTCTATGTATATTTTTTAGCTGCGATAATCCCAAACCTCTCTACAGTCAAGTGCTACATTTCTAATACACTCAAATCTTTGATTATAAGAGAGATCACACCCATTTTATTTTAGTTATCTGGCACACAGTCATTATAGAAAATCTGGAAGTTCTTATCCACATCCATCCTCCCCTTGAGGAACTTCTCCAGGTTCTTGAGAGGAACTTCGACCATATGGTTGTTGATGCGATCATTCAGCCCATAAGCTCCGAACACAGGGAACTTGTAGCGTATAAAGTATGGTGCATTTTGGTCAAACTCAGTGCAGCAGTAGGCCGACCACATGTATTCCGGTACAGCCACCCGGTCCAGGTTGTTGCGACGGATCGTATGCCCAGAGGTGGTGACCCCAGTGATCACAAAGGCTTTGCCTCGGCAGTAGTTGTTGAGGCGCTTGCGGATGAGGTCCTGGTGTTCTGCCCAGGGACCCAAGTTGAACTCTCTGATCTGAGGTACCACATTCGTCAAGCTGTAGGTGGAGGCTTTATCTAGAGGGTCAGCCTGATGCTCATCAGGATTAAGTTGGCCACGTTCGTATTGAACCACATCAGCGTAGTCCTCTAGAACTGCTTGGGTGTCCTCAAAGTTCATATGCATGCCTGAAGATTGTGGGAAGGGCTCCATGTTACTGCTGCCTTTATCTGAGGCCAACTGTAGAGAGACAAAGAAGAAATATTTTTATTTAGTTGACAGTTTTATCTGTTTTGAAAAGTTGAAGCAGAAACTCATTGTTTATTCATCATTCAGATTATTTTTCACATTCAGACAATTTGCCATATTCACAAGAAACATCCAATTCCATAGCGACACACAAGAACATAAATGGTAAAAACACTATCTCATTCAAATACCATTCATAGCCAATAAAGCAGCTTATCTCAAGCTTACTTTGTTGCCTGTAGCAACAGTAGTATTATTGCCCCAGCTCTTTAAACTGCTTGTTAGATATGAATATAAGTATTTAGTATACTGTAGATCTACATGCACAGGCAAAGCACAGTATACAATTGATTTGGATTATAATGGAGACTGAAAACCAAAATAATAAATCTAAACTAACATTTCGACTTTGATTCATTTAGAAAGAACACTCACCTGGGGCTCAAACATCCAAGGGAAGTCCACCCTCTTCTCCCCATCTGACTTCTTGAATGTATAGGCAGAATAGATGGGGATGTGTCTATGGGGGTCGTACAGGGTGACATAGTGGGGCTGATCCCCATACCTCTGGCAGATCTTCTTAAAGGAGGTGCCAAGGTAGCCTCGAGGTGGAGTACCCATGTACAGAGAGTCCTTACAGCGTTCCTCATGGTTAAAGTCCCCCACCACTCCTGCCTGGGCCCCCTGTAGCAACACACAGATCAGCATAGAAATGGCAGCTGCCTGGAGTAAGACACAGTTTGCAGATGTAGGTGTCATCATGGCAGCTCTTTTTTCCCCTCAATCTTTGAAATTCTCTGTCCTTTCAGACGTGTCTACTCCTCTACTCTCACACCACTGTGAATCCACTATTGTCTAACAAGTACAGCCTCTGCCCCAGCTCTATCAGACTAAGCATTTCCCTTCTTGCCTCATCTGTACCTCAAGCAAACTGGTCTCCCATTGTAAAGTATTTTCCATATATTCAAAGTGCTACGAGTGTCGTAGCAGTAATTCAAAAGCGCTGAATGTTATCAATCATTAAGAGCATTTTATTACTGTGAACTGCAGAGGAAAAAAATGACTGACTTGATACTCTCTCATGAAAGATGAGACCTGAGACCTTCAAGTTGTGTACATGTAGCTTAAGTAATGATGTTTTTTAGTTTTTAATTTTGTGTTGAGGCAGACGGCTATAAGAGTGAGAATAAAATAAAGTTAAAAAATCCAGGTCAGGAAGAACCTGAATGTACTGTGATATCAATTTACGTGTCACAGAGGAGAGGGAGATCACATCCCCTGGATTAACACTACAGTTTTTTCACACAAATGCACAGCAGCCATCTGTTTTAGCTGTGGCTTTGAAGAGAAAAAACAAGCAAATGTATAGAATTTCTACAGACCACTCTCTCCACCCAGTCTGAATACCAATGGTCTATAGTTTATATGTCATAAGGACTACAACAGCAGTAACTTCAAAAGCTTTACCCCATGAAATGTTGCGAATGTTGGTGGGAGCAGTTATACTGCTGGTGCTGTAATACTTTGAGACTGTTTCATGTAGGCCAGTATGAAAAAGATCAAAATATAAGGTGAGAAGTATGAAATTGATCCTAAGAGTGGATTTACATCCCTCATTTTAAAGCAGTTTTCAGCAGTTTTCATTTAAATGTGTTACTTTCATGACTAATGAGCAATGGGTAGAATATCACAAACATGTTTGTGTCAAAATGAAACCTCAAAGACAGTTTAATGATACTTTGCAAATGTTTATTTCTGCAAATTAGATAAAGCATGTAATTGTTCTTACATTTTCAGTGAGCCTAATGTTCAGTTATTTCTAAATCAACAGTGAACAGTGTTAACAGTTGTGTATTGTTTCTTGTGATACACACTTAGAGACTGAATTGTTACTACTGATACAAAGTCCATGGTTTCTGTGATTTATGCTATAGACCTTTGTCACAGAAGATATTTTGATCTTTCACAGGAAGAAAAGCACAGGAATAAATGATAAAATGAATCATGGTTGAATTCTTCAGTTTCAGGGTCCTGGTGTTGTGCATGCTGGCTCTCTGTCATGGCTTACTGGGACACTTGAACATAGCCGTAGGTAATGCTTTTAGTAAAACCCATGCTTTTCATACTTGACATGTCAAACTCTACTGTGATAAAGGTCTATTGAACAAGAAGAAACAGAACGTGATCAGGATTATTAAGGTACAATGGCTCATAGCTTCCTTATCACTAAATATTTGCTTATTTGATTTTAATTGATGCAGGTGGGACACAGTCACTGACAAAGATCTGAAAGTTCTGGTCTACAAAGGTGGTCTTCTTGAGGAACTCCTTCAGCTTCTGGACAGAGATTTCCACCACCTCGTTGTTGTCCTCCTCATTGAGGCCATAGTGAGCAAAAGAGGGGAACTTATAGCGCTCGTCGTAAGGGGCGTTGTGGTCGAAGTCAACGCAGCAATAAGCTGACCACAAGTACATGGGCACTGCAATGCGATTGATGTTTTGCCGGCGGATCATCTTCCCTGAGGTGGTGATACCTGTGACAATGTAAGCTGTTCCATGGCAGTAGTTGTTAAGCCGTTTGCGGATGATGTGTTCCTGTTTGTTCCAGACCCTGTTGTTGAAGTCGGGCACAATGGGCACGACATTAGTGAGGGTGTAGGTGGAGGCCTTGTCTTCAGGCTCGTCCTGATGCTCATCTGGGTTGAGGGTACCCCGTTCGTAGATGATGGCATTTGTATAGTCATCCAGAACAGCTTGGGTGTCTTCAAAGTTCATGTGCATGTAACCACGTGGGAAGGGCTGCATCTCATCTGTATCAGACAATGTGGATAGCTGTGTGGGCAGACAGACAGAGCCAGTGCACATGAGAGGATAGAACAGTAGAATAGAAATGCAAGTTTTTGCACAGGAATACTTACATAATCTCAGTACAGAAACAAAATAGCATGCTTTTCATGTCATCATTTTTTTTTTTTACCACCTCATGTCCAACCTTTTAGTTTTCTTTACCTGAGGTTCATACATCCAAGGCACATCCACGCATTTCTCCCCATCTGAGCGTTTGAAGGTGTAGGCAGAGTAGACAGGTATACGGTCCACAGTGTTGTACAGTGTCACATATCGTGGCTTCTTGTTGTAACGTTGACAAATGAACTGGAGGGAGTGGTGCTGCAGCCCTGTCGGTGGTGTTCCCATGTAGAGGAATTCTCTGCACTCTGGAGACAGCTCTTTTTCCACTCTCCCTCTTACTGCTGATGCTATTATGTTGATAAGCAGGAAAGCCGTCTGCACCCAAAACGCCATGGTTAGGACGTCTCTGTCTCTGTCTGTCGGTCACTTTGACGAGATGATATGTCGGATATCCTTCTGTGAGCTGCTACAAATGATTGAATAAGTCTTTGTAACTGCCCGTGGAGCTCAGTAAAAGGCTAACACAGGTTTCCCACTCTGCTCTCTGTAATCAGGACTCAGTATGCAAAACAATGCACTTCTTACACCACAGCAGATCCACCCACAGTTTTAAGAACAGCTACTGTGTATAGCAATGTAGTCTAGCAGTCCTCGGATATGCAGCATTTTATGTACAATTCTAGTCAATTTTCAAGAGATTACCTGTATGTCATGTTGAACTAATACCAGCATCTTGGATTTAAATGTGATATACAGTAGCTTCAATGAATTGGTGGAATAAGCAGATACAGGATATACTGATATCAGTGAGCAATGTGGTTAATGTTAAATCCATGTTTGAATTAACTTGGGAAGAATTTAAAGGAGAATACAGGGGCATTTTCTGTTCAAGTGTTACAAGGGCAGTATGCATAAAAAGTCGTCAGTTTTTATTTATATACAGTAGCGCCACAACAGAAGTTATCTCAAGGCACTTTTCAAATACCCTACTCTTTATAATATTGGTTACAGAGAGCCAACAACTCACACCATGAGCAAGCACTTTGCAAGAGTGGCAAGGAAAAACTTCTTTTCAAGAGACAGAAACCTGGAGCAGTACCGGACTCAGGGTGGGCGACCGTCTGCCTCGCCCAATTGGATTGAGAAAGAGAGAGAGAGAAAGAGAGAGAGAGAGAGAGAGAGCGACAACAACCATCAACTACAAACAGACTGACTGCCTTTATTGAATTTGAGACAGTGGGGACAGACAGAAGAAAAAGATGGAGGATATTCAACATGGCCATATTCAAAATGGAGATTGCAGTTTTATGGTATTTGTCCTTGAAGTCTAGATGCCACCACTCTGCCCCATAAAGCTCCAAAGTGTGAGCAAATATATAAGGCAATTAAAAAGGTATAGAGAAATCAAAAATGGGTCATCAGTTGGGTGAACAAAGGTTTTTAGGTGTAGCCAATCAGCTTGACTCATTGTATTTAAACCAGTGACTACACATGTGCTGCCTTGGCAGTAGTTATTGAGCTGTAACCAAATGTTTTGCAAATTTGGCATCTTGTGATTTACTGAAACTTAGTATTGATGGATACACTGGTCCGCATGCAGATGGAGGCCTTATCCCTTAAGCTGCACTGGTGCTGGTCACAGTTTAGCTGGTCCCACAAAGCATTTGACTAAACTACAACAGTGTTTTATTATTCAAACAGTGAAGCCATTATATGGCTGTTAATTTACCCACAGAGGGATATGAAATTCTCCTCACCAGTGTCTGAAGACTCTCATGTGTTTGAGCTGTTGTTGTAAATGAACTCTTCCCCATAAAGTGTAATACAACTACAGGGAACTCTGGAGAAACTAAATGAATTACAGAGACATAATTTTACGGATTACTTATGAACACAAAGACAGGTTTAAAAGTGCAGGAGACACCATAACAAGAAATTTACATGAGACTCCATAGACTACATTTTGAACCACAAATTCATACTGTGCATGTAACACAACAGTCATTCATGTTTGCTTACAGACATGTTATTGATCTGACATTGTCCATAATCAGTCATCTTTATTTACAGTATGAGTAAAGTTAGAAAACCCACAGCAAAAGTTCTAAGTAATAGGCTTCATGAAGTTAGAAGCACTCAAACTGTTTTCACTATATTTCAACTCTCTCCAGTATGTGAAGGGTCAGAATATGGTGACAAAGAAAAGATAGTTTGTTATGTGGTGTCAATGCCACTATATGAGCCAAGTCAGTGTAAACAAAGTGTAAGTGTAATGAGCCAAGTAAATGTTTTCACTGCTTCTCTGGACACCTTCTTCCAGCCTGTTTGTGCTGCATGGTTTTGTAAATTTTAGAATCTCTTTCACACACAGTATTGTGTTAGAAATATCTGATAGATTACTATTTTCTTTTTAAAATTCAAAAAATTAAAATTTAAAAATTTAATTTGTTCAGCATTGTCATATACAGTAGACCGTGATGGGAATATTTCTTTGACGTAGTAAGCCAGAGCCAAAATGAGGTAGAGTACTTCAGGAACATGGTTTAAATTCGGTTTGAACACCTGGACCATGAAATCCAGATAACCAGGTTCTATCTGATTTACATGGTACAAGTTTCTGCTCTTTGTAAAACATGTGACATGAATGTATGAATTACTGTAGCTTAACTCAACAGTACGAGGTGGGACAAAACAAATTCGTCTCGTACTTAGATGCTGGATTTAACGGGCGCTGTTTTGACTGGAGATCCCAAATTTTAAACAGAAAGTTTGCATAACAAATCAGGGTGAATCACTCCTTATGTAACACATTAAAGTTTATTTAATTTAGGCCTGTTATTTGGAATACAGTTAAGTCTTGTCCATGCTGTTAATGTAGTTGTTCATTCAGACTGAAACACTGCTCAGGTCTCTCCTCTTCTTCTTGAAGAGGTTTTCAGACACACAGCCCTTATAGAAAATAGTCATGTCACTATCTGTGTATGTCTGGCTCTTCAGGAAGCTCTCCAGAGTCTTCAGAGGGACCTCCACCACACTGTGGCCAGTCTGTTCATTCAGTGCATAGCCCCCATAACTAGGGAACATAAACCTCACCTCATACGGTGAGTTGCGGTCAAACCGTGGGCAGCAGTACGCCAGCCATAAGTGTTTTGGGATTGCTAGGCGGTCCCTGTTATCTCGCTGGATGTTCGCCCCTGAAAGAGTCACCCCTGTCACCATGAAAGATTTGCCATGGCAGAAGTTATTGAGGCGCTGGCGAATGGTGTCCAAGTATGGGTTCCAGGAGGTATCCAGGAAGTCTGTGATTAATGGGACTACATTGGTCAGGGTATAGGTGGAGGATTTGTCATCTGGCTCAGCTTGGTGCAAGTCAGGATTCAGAGGGCCACGTCTGTAGTCTACAGCATCTGTGTAGTCTCCCAACACAGCCTGGCTGTCCTCAATCAGAGGGGGCGTGTCTTCAGCAAGGGGAAGTGTTCTCATGTTTCCACCCTCGTCATCAGAGAGCAACTGTAGGGAAAAGCAGAGAAAAGAAGGAAGTATTATTCAGTTTGAAAGTGATTGTAAACTCAAACGTCATGACTGAACACGGAGCCAATACAGAAAAACTCGAAGATGCAGGACCATTGATGGTTGAGTCCAACTGTATAAGCTTCAATTTAAAAAGGACCCAGTTCTCTCTCATAACATAACGTCAGTAATGTTTTTCCAGAAAAGTTATGATCTACAGCTAATTTTACTTCCTCTTGCTCGGCAGTGGTGTTGATGGCTGTGATTTTAGAAATAGTTGTCCAGTTAATGTTTTTAAAGCTGTTTGGGTGATTGACATGTGACTCAGCCTATCAGGTGGTCCTGTGTGAGCTCTATACAGGCTTTGTCTTCTGTACTAAACTCCATGTCCAATAACTATAAAAAGAACCCAAGCTTCAAAACATCCCCTAACAACCTACTGGCAGAGGTGGGAGGAAGTCACACATGTGCAAGTCACGAGCAAGTCTCAAGTCTTAACCTTCAAGTCTCAAGCAAGTCCCAAGTTACTGTGGTGAGATTCAAGCAAGTGGAGTCCCTGCTTTAAGTCAAGCAAGACAAGTCAGGTTATTGTTCAGATGAAGCAAATCACAAGTCAAGTTATATGATATAATATGATATTTAATAAAAAAAATGTTTAAGTCCTATCGAGTCATCTGTTTCAAGTCCACATCAAGTCTCAAGTCATGAATACCAAATCAAAGTCAAGTCTTTTATCAGCGTTGATCAAGCAAGACTGAAGTCTTCAAATTTGTGACTAAAGTCGGACTTAAGTCAAGTCATGTGACTATTTCTATTTCTTTCTTTTTTTTTTCTTTTTTTTGCGTTTGTCCTCAGACAGTGAGACACTTAAGTAGAAAAAACAAGGAAAACAAACAAAGCAGTGTTACTCTCTGTACCTGAGGCTCATACATCCAGGGGGTGTCCATCCTCCTCTTCCCATCAGACTTCTTAAAGATGTAGGCTGAGTACAGAGGGAGGCGGCGACTGCTGTCATACAGTGTGGCGTAGCACAGTTTGTCTGCGTACTTCTGGCAGATCCTCCTCAGGCCGGTTCCTCTGATCCCTGCAGGTGGTGTCTGCATGTAGAAAAAATGGCTGCAGTCTCTGAAGCTGTTTGACACAGTGGCGCTCACCAGGGGGGACGCAATCATCAGGGAGAAGGATAGGATGCAGGTGCAGAACAGATGCATCCTCGCTCGGCTGGAGTAGAGGGAAAAGTAATGGTAAACCAGGTTATTTTGTCCTAATAGGGATTTGACATGTCCCACCGGGCACCATTATGAAATTCCACATGGTGGTGGTGAGGAATTTTCTGTCATCCTGTATTGGTGTTGCTCTTGTAATCTAATAAAGTATAAGGACTGTTGGACAGAGACTCAGTATGCAAAGCAGCAGCAGCTCAGAGTGAATCCATTGGCTGGATAGTTGACTTATCTGGTTCTACACTACCTGTGCAGCCATGCATCTCTGCACAGGCTTCTGGCAGGCTCTGTTCACGTTCTAACGTATGCCATGAATTCACTCTTTTCATTATCTTTTCCTTATTTTATGATCTATATGAAACCACAAACAGCAAAAATCCCTTTGCTATCTGTGTCACCCTGGATGAACAACATGTTTATCATTATTGTTATAGTGTTATTTTCAGTGTTGATGAAAGCAATGAAACTTGCAAAATGAGCAGTTATGTTGAATTTAAAAGCTTCCCACAGCTTTAATGTGCCAACTTAATTTAAGAATGAGATTTCCATGAGCCTACATTTGTTGTAAGTGTTGCATGACACATTTGAGCTGATCATGCCTTTTGCAGCCTCACTCATGTAGTGTGAACTGTGTGTCTGACCAGATAGTTCCTCCTCCAAACACACCCATATGCATTGATTGAGCAACCCAGATACAGAGATGGTTCTTCATGCAGTGATGTGGTTGGAGGTCAAACTGAAAATACCAAAACAAACCAAACTACTGTATTCTTGTACCTTTTGTTAACAGCATCTCAGGCAGTGGTGTCTGCAGTATGGCTGCTGCTGGCTGTGTGCCCCTCTCCTGCACTACAGGTCACACAGAAGAGTGCAAAAATGCAAGGATGGCATCTGGACCGTTCTAAGTAGTAGCATAAGTAGGCACATGTAATCGATGTGCACACCTGGCAACAGAAAAAAAACTCCTGCACCCTTTTCAAGAACATCTTGATGGAGGGGGCGACGCTCCAGAGGCTGCCTGTGGTAGTGGTGTTCTACAAATTAGATCCATCATTTAAATAGATTGAGAGTGCATACCTTTCCCATACCAAGCAATTAGTACAGTTAAGAAAATAGCAACGTAAGCTGTTGATGATTTGGATTTAGATAAATGACATTAAAGGCCCTGAAAACACATTTTCTCAATCAGCTTCATACTGTAAGTGATTATACATAAAAACACAATAGTCATAATATGCAATGATTAGTCATGAATATTTAATGTTATAGAGAAGTACTAAAGATTTAAAGCCAAGTTTTCGCAGGCTTTTAACTGTAAACTTCCAGCCTAGATTTAATTCCTTATGAGACTGTCCAATAATGAAATCATGCAGAAATTATGCTAATATCATAATATTTATTTCCTTTGGCTGTAATGTGCGTAATACTTTCTCTGTGAGACTGTTTTCTTTCCGCTTCAGTTACAGTGTAAAAAAAAAAAACACCCCTCGACCCCGAGTTTGTTCAGTCTATTATGAACCTACCACCGCAGTACAACAACCAGACCAAGCCAGACTACATTCAATTCCTGGTCACGTTTAGTGCACAAAGTTGAAGGGACTAAAAAAGGCTACTGAAGACTGTATTCTGCAAAATGCAGTGCTCCAACAAATGCACTCAGGGTTCCACTCCCAGCTCCCATGATCCATGCACATGTGTGTGTTGACCCACCAGAAACATCACCGGTGGCTTGGCCCACCTCACTGTCACTGTCAAAAGTGCAAGTGGCACCCCACAGGGCTTTCCTGATAGGCAACAAGACCTTCCAGACCAAGGTCATCTACAACAACAACAAACCTCAAAAGAACAAAGACTTTTACCTGTCTGCAGTCGAGCTGTCCCTGAAGACAGAACTGAAGCTTGAGGTGTGGGATGAAGATAATCACTGGTTTGGACTGAACTAATCACCTCTTGGGGTCTTGCACTAGCTCAGTCAGAGCTGGTTCTTTTCGCACGAATCATAGCAACTTGTACTTCTCCTACAACGCTGAGTGCACCCCAGGGCTGAGAGGTACCACTTGTTCAGAGTACAACCTGTTCAGGATGAAGGCTGGTCTCCTTGACCTCTTTTCATCCTGCAACAGGCTGAATGTCAACCAGGACCTGCTGGATCACTTGAGCATGGCCCCACTGAGGATGATGCCCCGATCTTTATCATGAAACACAGGATAGAAAGAAAATCGATTCAACCTGCCTCTTCTCAGTCACTTGCTTAAACAACTACAAACTGTTTTGACCATAATTAGTTGCATTAATTCTACAATATTTCTTAACAGTTTCCTTTAGTGCGCAGTGAGCTATAGTAACATTAAATTTAGTATTTCACAGTTTGATAGACCTGGAGTGACCTGTGGCTAACCTCACAGATATTGTGAAGATATAACTGATACTAAATTGAAAATGAAATTAAGAATCATTAGGATTTTAAAACTTCTCAAATGTGGAAAGCTACCAAACATCTAACTTATGGTTTTTGCTCAGCTTTTTTTGTAAATACTGCAGCAAGCTTTCTTTTTTTATAAGTAATTAATTTTTAAAAATGCTGATTAACACTTTATTGTTACATTAACAATATGAGGTGACTTTAAATTGTTGATATATCATCCTCTACTTTGGTTTTTCTTGTCTTTTCTCTTTGTTGTCTCAACATAACTAGGAAATAATGGTTATTCATACATATATATTCAACTTCAACCCTTTTGTGCATGGGATATAAATGCTTTGATGATGCTTTATGACAAAACTGTTTTAGGCACATACAAACATTTCAGTGGTAGTTTCCAGTAGTTATTCATCAATCTAAGATACAGCTGTTGATTAGATACACAAATAAAGTGATTATGAGTATTGTAAGTAACTACCACTCCAGATCCATGTATACTGAAGAAATGGAGATATTATTATTATTACAATTTTTACAGATATCATCACTGATATTATTGGTCTGTTTAGTTCTACTGTTTATAATATCTGTATTTATAATATGCATTTACCTTTGGAACAATACCTGTATCATGATATACAATCCAAAATAACTGCCCTGCAACAAATGCAACATTTGTGAATGTTTTGTCCACCACAATAACATTCATGTGGGTGGACAAAACATCAGAAACCCCTCCATAGCTGGATTAAACTCTATTTGGACACAGGACCCTTCTGCAACACAGGACCTCTGGTTGACATGTCCCTCAAGGGCATGCACTATATCATTAAACAGGGTTCTAATTTGTTCGTCTTATCTACTAATTTTAATTGGAAATCTACTTTAAATGTATTTTAAATGCCATGCTAGTTATGATCCATTTGCCTCATTCATGTTTAAATATATAATGTACGCAACGTTAGTTTCTTCAGTTTTGCCTCTTGTATTCAGCTAGTTGAGCACATGCACGTTCAAACATGTATTTGTGCCTCTTCAAACGAAATGAAAAACTATAATTATTAATGATGTTACATTTTCAGCTTTAATTTCCACTTAGTTGAATAGCAGCACATAGTAAACACCCGCAACAATGAAATGTTTTTTTAATATATATCCATAGTATATATAGTATTGATTAGTATATCAATACTAATTTAGTCTTCACGCATGTTTACAATATGTGAGGGCCCCATTTCAAAGGAGTATGTTAAGTGGTAATCACACATCCTATTTGCTCATGCCAGTTATTCAACAGTGCCCTCTACTGACTAAACCCTGCTAGTGGCTTCCACAAACGTATTGCACATGCTCTGCAAGTCATTCAGTTCACTTTCAAGGGTATAGATGGCGAAAAACTCATAATTTCTGAAGCATCTGAAGCTTGAACCTACAGACTGCAAAGTTTATGAAAACAGCTTTGAGGGAAATAAGTTTCTACGTAATGTGACAACACGTTGCTGCCCCGCGAGTTTGTATTAAGCCATCTGTTTTCCGTGTGCGCTTTTAACACCATTGCACGCTGGAGTTGCCTTAACGCTACAGCTTACTGGATAATTAAACCCATCCAGCTAAGACGACGTGTGTTTGAAAATACCGTTGCAAAGTGTAAAGTGGACACCATTAGTGTCCAGGCTGGTAAATAGGGGTGTGTTTGCCCTGCTACAACATTGGTTAGCCGCTTGTCAATGTCCAGTCACGTGGTGTCACACGGACGGCCATGTTTCCGAAACACAAACAACAAGAAGAGCAGCGACTGGGAGCCAGCAGACACATACTGATACGCAGCAGCGACCGTTGGAGGAGAGGGAAAAATAATAAATAGAATACAGAGCACGACTTTCTGAAAGTACGATTCTGTCGAATGAATACGTTTACAGTGTTTAAAGAGACCAATGCAAACGATATATTGGCTGTAGACACGCCGTGCAGACAACCAGTCTGGTAGCTATAAACAGTGAAGGTAAGCCATGGTTCCTCTTTGCAGCTTGTCTTTTAGCTAGCTGGCTAACGTGAGCTAACGAGCTAACCTCGGCTCGTGCAGCTCGGATGTTTGGTTTTACTTGCCGCGAGAAACGCATTTTCACTTAGTTGTTTTACAGCTAAAGCGCGATTGTTTCTGTCATTGTGTTAGTCTTGTTTACATCGCAATAGCCATAGCTTAACACCGACAGCGAAGTGGAGGTGGTCGTCCGCACATTGGCGGAGCAGGCCGGGGAGTCTGATCCCAACACTCCGCCCCCTCCGCCATCATATCTGGTGTCATTTGAACCTACAAGCCAAGGCCTTTACGATCAACGCATACCTTGTGCTAGGTTAGGTAGCACGCTAGCTAACCCATCTCTGTTATGCAACAGAAATTTGATATTGTGGGTCAAATACTCTTGTAACAGTTGATTTATCTTTCTTTTTCAACAAATCGATTTGCGCTAATTAGCTTGAAATTTGGACAATGTATGCGTTAATGTAGTTCGCAACCACTGGCGGTAGCTAACGTCAACTGTAGCTATTTGTCTATATGTTAGCTTCCTTCACGACCAAACAATTAGCATTGCTTAGTTTGTGAAAGTTGCTAACTGGTTTGTGTGTAAAGTCAAATTAAACGTAGCTTTACAGTCTGCTATCCCGCAGCCTGAAATCCCGTTGTCCCGCCACGTTTTGAAATGCACTACATTTGCAAATATTCAGGTGTACTATACATATCAGTTTTTGCAAGCAGCGTTATTCCTTGTGACCTTGCTTCAGTTTTCTCAGTGCAAAGTTGGCAGACATTAAATATGTTAATTCTTTGCCTGTTGTTGCCTGAAATTAAGTAGCTAAATACTTTAAAGCCAAGATAAATGTAAGCGAGCTAAAGATGTTTAGTATATCCTTTATATTCTTAATTATTGTAGTTTGTTAAATTGTTTTATTCCATTGCTGGGATTTTTCTCACTGTTATTTGCATGATTTGCAATCATGTGTGCTATAATTTGATCCCAGTGTTCTCTTACTTTGCGCCATTTAAACTGATAAATAATTGCAAGAAGCACATGTTTAAAGTCACAATGCTCAGTAATTTACCATTACTTTCAATATGATTACCAGCAGAAGATAATTCACAGATTTGTATGAGACATTCTCATCTGTAGCTTTAAGGAGTGTATCAAACTGGTTGCAATGTGATAATCTCTTCTTCAACCATGGCCTTATTTTCCCAGTTTACCATCACAACCACTGTATTGTGTCATTTAAGTTACCATAGAGGTTAAAATACTTTCAGGTCACACACAAACACACAAACAACTTCATCTACAGCTGATTAACCCAGAAGGAAAGTTAAAAATGTATACTTACACTGCAGTTTGATGTAAATTGGACCTGTCAGCATCCAGTTTTAAATATGTGTATGTTGCAGTATTGTTAGTTGTGCTATTGAATGTCCTTTGAGCTGCTTAGAAGGTAGACTGTTTAAGTACAGTATTGCAATCATATCATACTTGATGTTCTGTAATTACTTAGTGTTCACTAATCACACTGAGGCATAATGAGTTGCAGAAGTTTTAAGTATTTGCAGATAACGGCACAAAATCCACATTATCAATAAAAGGTATTTAAAGCAAACACAAAACAGTTTTGTCATAAAGCATCATCAAAGCATTTATATCCCATGCACAAAAGGGTTGAAGTTGCATATAAATGTATGAATAACCATTATTTCTTAGTTATGTTGAGACAACAAAGAGAAAAGACAAGGAAAACCCAAGTAGAGGATGATATATCAACATTCACAATTTTGAAAAACGAGAATGTTTTTGTTTTTATTCATTTCTGATCTCGATTTAAAAATGTTAAATGCAAACAATGACCCTACAACACTGCAAATATAGCAGAGGGCTTTCCATTTTAGTACACAGGGTTGTGTGAGCAATGCAAAAAAAAAAAAAAAAGTATTAAAAAAAATTTGATAGAGTAAAACAGTCTATTTGCATCATAAGAGACCGCTAACTGTAGTGTGGTACTGTGTTGTAAGCTTGGGCAATGTGGACAAAATATGTCTTCGTATTTTTTTGGCATTTTGACATTGTTGACATTAGATGCCATTTTTAACAGCTCACATCTGAGTGACGTGAGTTATTGGAAATTATGTATTTGTTGTTGGTTTGATCAGTGTAGTTTGAGTCATCGCTAGTCAGATACAGGAGTTGAATGCCATTTCTTTTAGTTATAGTAATGAGCTTTACTAAGGCCAATAAATAAGTTGTAGCTTGTTTTTGCCACTGCCTTCAATCATCAGATGCATAAACATGACATAAGTCTGCATAATTAAAAAGCTGAATCAAATTAAAAATGCTGTTGAGCTGACACGGAAGCACTAGGGCCTTCCATGACACAGCGGCAGGGAGGATCAGAATCAGCACATTTGTAGTCAGGAAAGTTATGTAATCCTTGAAAATAGAAACGTGGATAAAATTAACTATACACTGATATTTGCATTTCTTAAAATTGAAATAGTGTGTAATAAGTGCGTCAATAGAAATTCATATTATGCAGTTTGATTCGGTGCCACACGGTGGTGCCAAAGCATTAGTTACGATAACCTAAAGTCCCGCCCTTCTCATGTAACTAGCCTCTGTTCGGTTAGAATTTCATTCATTCAAAATTATTTTGTAAGCATTCAAAAAGTACAACTCTGAACAGGCTTTGACTTTATGCCTATGTCTAACACTCGTGGTAGAGATATACGATATGAATAAAATCTTCTATTTCTACTTGAATCGAGGTATGTCAACCCACTGATGCAAAAAATCCTGCAAGTCTAATTTATCCCTAAGGAATTCTGCTAATTTACAAAGCTGCACACAGTGGGTTAAAACAGCCAGAGAAAGCTATGACAGAATCACTATAAACAATTTTCTATCATCTCATATTGTGTATCACCGTGTCTAAGTAATGGGATATTTAATTAACTCACAGTGATTGTAATTGGGTACAGCTCATAAAATCTGCTGGCAATGTGTTATTTAAGTCTCCAGAATTTATGGTCCCTTGATATCTTTACATTAATCCTAAGGACAAAGACAGTTCAGTTCATATACATCTGAGCATATGCTTAGTTTGCTAGTTTTATGGTTCACTTATAATTTAGACTATCTTGTGTTGAATTTATAGTGTCAGATTGCTGTTGAAGGTTATTTCATGCAAAATAACTTGCTTAAGAACAAAGAAAAAAAACAATCTTAAGATTTTGTTTGATAAAGGGTATTTTTAATTAAGATTTTACACCCTTTTCCTGCTATTTTTTTTCCTTTGATTAGAATACTATCCACATAAGTCCAGATTGTAACATAAAAAGGCTGAAAACTGAAAAACCCCTGAGCAGACTATTGGTGATAGTCTGAAAAACAGCATAAGGAACATAGTGTCTGAGAAACACAGTGTCAGCGTCGATGATGGCATATCCCCTGCCCTGACAGCATTAAATCACTTCTAGCATTCAGCTAGTCGAGAAGGTGTTGGCCTGGTGCTTGTGCCTTGGAAAGCAGTGCTCAGTTCAAGAGGAAAGTAAAAAGTTTGAAAATAAGGTTTAGGTTAAACATGACCACAATTATCCATCAAAGACATTGGTGTGACACTTACTATTAACTGTACTTGAAGTGATGTGTTGTCATGTGTCATGACAATAGCAAAAAAAGTTATTCAAAATGTATGAACAGAAGGATGTGATATTCATATCATAGGGCCACTGTATGCATGTATTGGCATTAACTGTTGAAAATTAGTTCCCTCGTTATTGGTTTAGTTTCCATGGCATTTTCAGGAACTATCCCCATCCAGCTGCATGCATTTAGAAGCAGCTGGTTCCCAACATCACTGAAATAGACTCCCTACATTTCTGGATGGAAAATCTCCTGTGAGCAGTAGAAACATTGGCCCATGATGGAGCACTAAACTAGAAATAGTTTGCCGTTTCATTTGTTCACCGAAGGAATACCACAGTCGTTTTCTCCCAGCTCAGTGTGCTGTAACAGATTGATCAAATTGGTCCAGTACCTTTCAGTGAGTCCAAGGCACGCTGCCTCGAAAATAGTATGTCAAGGCTACACATCACAAAATCAAATTACATTTCCTTTCCTATAACAGCAGAGGCAGACTGCCAAGCTGTGAAAATGCATCTTACCAGCAGCTAATTTATTAGGTGTCCACTTCTAACATTATTCTTTCCATCTCTCTTTGATTTGTCTGATTTCTCTGGTCCCATCTCTCAAACTCTTTGTTTGTTTTTTTCCCTGTGTTTTTTTTTTTTTTTTTTTTTTTTCCAGTGGTGCAAAGGGAGGAGGACAGGAAATAAAGGAGTTACCTGGAGGGTGTCCGTCAATCCACATTTCAGTTGGAGCGAAAGAAAAAGGCACGGAGGGAGAGAGAGAAAGGAGAAGAGGAGTGCGAGTCGCGTCTGCTCTTGGCAGCTGTTCCAGCAGCCTGATTCATTGTTTTGGCTGTTATTTCGTTCCTGCGTTACCTTTTTTGATGAATCAGTTCATATTTTTAACTTTAATGTGAGATATAACTGCTGTAAAAACAAAAAAAGAAAAAAAGACAAAAAAAGAAAGAAAACATTATTACTAGCAAGAGTGTTTTTATTTTGTTCCATCATTAATTTCCAAGGTTCTTTTTGTTTCTTTTTTTATGTTTAACAACCTTTTTCGGCTGTGAGTAGCAGGAGCTTCCATTCTCCAAACTATTGTCAAACCCCCTTCCTTACCTAGTTTGGACCTGATAACCTGGTATTCCTCAAGCACCTGAAACTGGCAGCTATTCTCTTTGTGTCTGTGTGTTTGGGGAGCTCTGTGACCACAGCTTAAACACCACTCAGCCTTCTAGTCACCTAAGCCTAACTAAACCCAGCCAGCTCTAGCCTGGTCCAGCCCAGTCCAGCCTGCTCCGATCATCTGGACAGGGTAAGGCTTTTGTGGGCATATTTATTCCTCTGCATATACATTTCTACAAGTATTTACAAGTTTGTTTGTTTTTTGTTTTTTTGTTTGTTTGTTTGTTTTTTTAAACTAATAACTATTTTGTTTTTCTCCTCAGATACTCAGTTCTGTGTGGACGTGAGGAATATGACTGCTGAGACTCTTAACTTCGGCCCAGAATGGTAACTTATATTATTTTTTTGTACGTTCAATATGGTTTTGAAATACTACTGAATACATAGAGAAGCAATTCCTGAAGAAAACACTTGTGATTGCTCTCATAACGTCATGTATGGTCTACATACATGCTTTGTTTTAGTGATTTTGGCTTAAACCTAGACATTTTTGGCCTGGTGGTGCCACTGAAGGAGAAGTCAGAGGATAAATCCTGGCTTTTCATTGAGCCCCTGACACCTACAGTATTCACTATGAATTATATGGAACTTTGAAATGAATTTTTGAGTTACCTTTTTGTACCAAATACCATGGAAAAATTGCCCATATTTGTGGAGATTAGAGCTGAAAAGATTAGTTAATCAGTCATTTGACAGAGAATTAGTTTGCAACTATTTTCATGGGCAATAAAATCTGAAATCTTTGCTTTTCAAATGTGAGGACTTGCTGGGTCTCTTTGTGTTATGATAGTGAATTGAATATCTTTGGTTTTTCACTGTTGGTTTGACAATAAGTTATTTGAAGACTAGACTCAAGGAAACATTTTTCTGTTTTTTCTCCCACATCTTGTAAACACAACCATTAACTGACATAAATCATGAGCAGATTAATTAGTTATGGTTATAATCTTTGCATATTTTGTTCTGGACTAAGAGACCAACCAGCATTGCTGCCTTTTAAAAGGGCCCAACAAAAGGGATGAAATGTGTATCAGCAAATTACTATAACTATCTGAATGAAAGTTACAGTAATATTCTTGAGTTCAGTTGGTTGGTATATGTAATTTATTGTTTTCAGTTGTAGTTTTTAGACTTTTGTAATCACCAACTATAACAAAACTGTCAGAATGTAGATTTTGTCATAGTGGTATCCTGTCCATCTCTCTCTGTGCTGTTTCACCTCCTCCTCAGTGAATGTTTGTGTAGCGATTAATGGGGGGGGCTCTCCATCTCTAACAGCCTGTGACTGCTGTGTGCATTCTTGGTGCAGTGCCAGCCTCGCAGAATATTTCTCTCTTTACACATCTGCAGCTGCTTTCCTCTCAATGGCCCTACCAGGCCACTTTTATCCTTGTGCCCTTTTAATATAGCTATAGAGCGGCCAGTGCATGTGCTCACCACAAACAGCTGTCTGGCCAGCATGTTTACAAGTCCTTTAAAGCCTGTTAGCATTACAAAATTATTTAGACCATTTGAGGTTTTGTTGGCAGTAGAGTATGTTAGTCATCATGATGGAACTCAGTGAAAACAATCTGCCACTCATTTAGATTTATGTAACATTTATTAGATCAATCTTTGATCTTCAAGACTCTGACACAGGATCATGAATGTATAGATTTCAGTGTGTTGACGATCCTTTAGATTTTGTGCTTTGTCCTATGAGGGAAGGAAGCTAAATTTGGCTACAAGTGAAGTGGATACAAATATGCAAAAATATTTCTTCGTACCCCACCCACTGGCATGTTTCTTCAGCTCTCCTCTTATTATGCATATTAGTCGCTGCTCCACTTATTTCTATCCTATTTGTTATGCCACATGCTAGCAGCTGGGCTTTCATGATGCTTTCCTTTACCTTTTACACCCTACACCCCACCTCCACATCTCTGAGTTACATATGGTTTTGATGTGGAGCTGAGAGTCAATGACACACTTTGTAGAGGCATGTGAATGGAGCCATTGTTAAACAACAGGCCTTGGAAGCTGGCCTGCTAGTAATAGCTTTTTAAAATGAAATCTTGAGATTGGAAAAGCTAATATATCATCTGTGTTGAGCCAAGTGTATTCAGGAGGACCTGCGTAGGAGGATGGGTGATTTGTTACAGAACATTTAGTAAATTCTTTTTTCCCTGCTGCAAGATGGATGCTATTAGATATTTTTTCTCCAATTCAGATTAAAAGGAATTCTATCATGGTTACACAATCGCGCTCTCGCTTTTTCTGTGCTATGTGCCAGCAGGGGAATTTACAGTTATTTATAAGTGGTATTTCTACAATATATGTCAGCTTAAGTCAGTAGTCAGGAAAAAGTTCTGCAAACATGTGGCTATTTTTCATGTGTTGATACTGTTAAATATTCATACGAATTAGCTGTCTCTAAACATTTCACCCAAGTCCTACTTTTCAAATCCAGCACTGAGATGTCCTGTGGTCTGTCTAAGATTCATGCAAGAAATATTATCCTAATTCTTAAAGACTGCATTCTTTCTCACACAGGCTCCGTGCACTGTCCAGTGGGGGGAGTGTGACGTCCCCCCCTCCTTCCCCCGCCATGCCAAAGTACAAGCTGGCCGAGTACCGCTACGGCCGAGAGGAGATGTTAGCACTTTATATCAAAGACAACAAGGTTAGTGGGAAAACTACTGAATTTCTCTCAGGATTAAAGAGTCACAGAAAGTGAACAAGCATTTTCTAAAAGCTAGCATGAATATTACTTTAAACCTGCATTTACTTTCCTGTCCTCAAAACTGAGAACCTGTTTGTAGGTCAGTCATGGTAAAAGTTTAAAGGTGTTCTTGTCTTCTTAAGTGCCTATTATTGCTGTTTTTAGGTCCCAGAGGACATGCAGGATAAGGAGTTTGCTGCTATTCTGCAAGATGAGCCCATGCAGCCACTGGCACTGGTGCCTCTCACTGAGGAGGAGCAGGTATGCCATAAACACACACTCACAAATACAGCTGTACCTGCTAATATAGAACTGTTTCAGCCCGTCATGTGGTATTTCACTGTGATACAACCTCAACTCGAGAGCGAGCTGTTCTGTTGGTTGACAAATGTGGCTGTGAGCTCACATGCCTCACATTCCTCCCTTTTGCTCTTTCCATTCTCTCTCCGCAGAGGAACTTCTCCATGTCTGTGAACAGTGTGGCGGTGCTGAGGCTCATGGGAAAAGGGGCGGGTGGGGCTGCCCCGGCTGGAGTGGTCCGAGGACGAGGGGCCACACGAGGCGGTCGAGGTAAAAACTAAAGAAAAAAAGTCTCATAAAACCATTAAGAGAAACCGTAACATATAAAGAACAGCACTTATTCAGCCCAAGTGCACTTATGATAAATCCGAAACCTCTTGAGCTGAAACTAACATGAATCCAACAGCAACAGAAATGGTGCCCTAACCCTTGGCTGAAACTACAATGGCTGTTATCCAGGGAAAGTAAAACAGTTTATTCAAGCCAACCACTCAAGTGTTTATTTCCCCCTTTACTTCCACCATCTTGATGCAACACACTTCCTCTTGGCCTGTCTAAATAGTCCTCCTTTTGTGCAGCCACACCTGGCTAAAACCACTGAGCTTATGAACTCACCTTGTGCACACACACATTGCCTCATGCATATGAATAGCCAATGTAAACATGAGCTGTCCGGTTCAAGACAGCCAAGGGAAACAACTGAGAATAATGATACTGTGTGGGTTTCATAATTTGTGTACATGTGTTGGTGTGAGTGCCTGTCTGCAGCTTGAAGGGGATATAAGGTCATTAAAGTGTTAAATTATTTAAAAAAGATGATGATGAAATATAAGCACCCTCTTCTCTCCGTGTAAATAACCAGGACGAGGTCGTGGTGAAGGTGGATTCTACCAAAGAAGTATTGAAGATGTGGAGGTGGGTTTCGGCCGCAGCGTCCGAGAGATACACCGCAGCCAGAGCTGGGATGACAGGTAAGAAAAACCCTTATAACCAAATCTCAACAAGTGTCCTTACAAGGGTGGGCAAGGTCAAATAAATCATGGCTCCAGGTGCGCTATGGTGTAGTAAAAGGGTGTATCATCACTGCTGAGAGGAGCTGTCATCCAGTGCAATAAACTTCATAATCTGCTCTGGTATTTTTGTAGGTTTTTGCTCTCATGCTGTAATTCTCAGTTTGCAGGCGTCCTCTCTTATCTGAACTTAAGTATCTGTCGTATTTCTCTCTTAAGTTTTTTTTTTTTTTTTTTTTTCATGGACCTGGATAAAATGCATGAATTGCTATCTGCCATGGCAAGATGCAAATTTTAGCTGGACATATTTCTCAAGTATAAAAACTAGTTAATGTTTGGGGCTTGTTTTCCTCTGTTTATCACTTAACTGATGTAATTTCTGTCCATTTCCCTCCTTTCCTCAGGGGTGAGCGTCGATTTGAGAAGCCGCTGCGGCGGGAGGTGGTGCGTCCTGGCTTTGAAGAGGCTGGAGGTCCCGGGGGTCCAGGGAGGAAGGAGTACACAAGGGCTGACAGTGATAACTGGCGCACCCTCCGGGAGGAGCAGGAGGAGGACGAGGGGGAGCCGGGCAGCAACTGGAGACTCGCTGGACCCCGCAGGGATGGTATGATAGTACTGCCTCAAACTCTTGTTTGTGTTGAAAATGAAAGCTGTACAAAAAGAGCAAAGGCCTCATGATTTAAGTTCACTTTTAAAATGGGTGATGGGCACTCTGCACACCTTTTTTTTTATATATGATTTTATTCACCAGTGTGAAGGGACTGTAGCTGTTACCTTAGTTTAGCTACAGCTTAGAATCGGTTCATTACACTGGAGGCTTCAATCTGCAGCTAATTTTAGAGTGTTTGTGCTTTCAGAAGAGAGTACATTTAAGCTGAACTTCTGCTAAACTGGAAATTCCTGTAGCATGTTACTCAACACAGATGATTCAATCAGCATTGAATGCTACATAATAATGGTCCATCCTGTACATTCTTTGTGATGTTCTAATGCTATGATTTTATTTTATTTCACTTAACAATTGGATAAAATGTAAAAAAGAAAAAAAGTATTTGAATTTAGGATTCAGAAGTCAGAAAATTGCAGTAATATGAAAGAACACAACGTTTTAACTTTTATAGACTTTTTACTTATTGATTAAAATGTCTTACATTAAATATTATTATATCTACTATAATGTATTTTCAAACAGCTTGCCCATACTATAACAATGGAAAAAGAACTTGGAATTGAAATTCTCTTCTCTTGCATTGTACAGCTTCAGGTGACTGATATGATTCATATGTATAATAATACAATATAATGTCTTTTTAGTATAAGCATACATTACTACATTAGACGTGGAGTGCACCAGCTAATACACAATCCCTGTAAACTGTCCTGTTTTGTATTCAGCTAGGTTTTAAAGAAGTATAAAGGCAGTGACAACTGAAATGAGTATAATTACATTTGGTTCATACTTAGGTTAGAGTGGTCCTTGTAACACCATACATGGTGAAAGCTGATAATGGTTTTAAATATTAAAGTGGCCTGAGTAGCAGTGATTTGTATTACTACATTACACTGTTTACACTCTGTTCCATTAAACTTCTGTTAAACAATGTGTGAGCAGGTCTGATTTAAACAGTGGATATACTGACATCTAGTGGCAGTGAAGTGATTTCTCAGCAGGGTTTTGGCTGAAACATATTTTTGATGACTCCTCTGATTATTGCTTTTCATAGTATCTTCACTGACGGTAGTCAATGTCTTCTCTTTGTCAGATGGTGGTCCTCGCTCAGCAGGCTGGCGGGACCACGGCGCTCCAGGCGAGAGTCGCCGGAGGAAGTTTGATTTTGACTTCCGGGACTCGGAAGGTCACGGTGGTGGCCGCCGGCGTGCAGGCAGTGAAGGACTAGAGGACGATAGGGACGGCCTGCCTGAGTGGTGTACAGATGAGGAAGACGGGGAGATGGGCACGTTTGACTCCTCTGGAGCTTTCATGCCTATGAAGGTGTGTACTGTTTATTTATTTATTTATTTATAGAAACTCTGTTAGAAGGAGAAGAGGAAGTTATATATTCAGCCTCTCGATATGATTTAACATGCTCTCGTTAAGTCCCCTGTTCTCAAGTTCCCCATGTCTTCCTGTTTTAGAAGAGTGGCAAGGAGACAATCCTGGAGGAGGAGTTGGAGTTTAAGGGGATAGAGGAGGAGGAAGAGGAGGAGAGCTTCGCTGACATCGAGAGGAACAGTGCTGATGGAGACAAAGAGAAAGGTGAGGAAATATTTTTCTTTATTTGATTTAGAATGTGTTTGCAGCTTGTTCCATACAATTATACTTAGTTTGTCACCAGCCCAGGAGTGATTAAAAACAACTTTTGCCATTTATTTAAATTTTTTTCTTTCCTGTCACCTCACAGAGAGTAAAGACACCAGCTCTGCTGTGGTTGATGGTGAGGCAAAGCCAGCATCACCTTCCTCTTCTCCTCCGACACACTGTACCCCTCCATCCCTGGAGCCCCAGCCCAGCAATGCAGGCCCGGTGGTGGATAGCGCTCAGCTGAGCAACAGTCTCCCTGTGAAGGCCAACAGCACGCCAAGTGAAGGTATGTCTAGTTCCAAATCTCCCTCTACTTTCCTGTGCTGAATGTAGTTTTAAGTGCTACTGACACAAAGATTTGGTCCGCAGCAGTACCATGTATCGCCTATGTATGTTTTTCATAAATGTAGGCAATTTCAGTTTTATCTGGGCTATATTTATTGTACATATACTTGAGTCTGACTGGACGGATTCTGTTACTTTAGAGTTTGTATGCTCTTATCTTCAGCCTTTTTCGTCTCAGTACTGTGTGTGTGCCTGTGTGTGCGTGTGTGTGTGTCAGAGAGAGGAAATTCAGCCACATGGATATTTTAGTTTGATATACAATATGTTTAGCCCCAGTCATTTAATATCTTGTTTACTGAACCCGCTGTTCCTGCTGTATCAGATACAGAGCCAGTAGGTGGCTTTACCCCCACCCCCCCACCCCACATCCAACATCACCATACCATTAATAGAAATACTAAAAATAGGACCCATTGTTTTACTAATGTTTGTTCTTGGTGTTGTTTTTGTGTCAGACATGGCTCCGACAGGGGGCTCCAAGTCCCAGCTGAGCCCCAGTGCCGCCACTTCTTCCAGTCTGCCTCCCCCACCCCCTTCCTCTACTGCTTCTCTCCTCCCTCCATCTGGAGGAGACATCGAGGACGATGAAGGCATGAAGCACCTGCAGCAGGTAGGAACAACAGGAGGCACATTTCAAGCAACTGTCTCAGAAATATTATTTAATCATAATGAAAACTGCATTAAACACAGCTGAACAATCTCTTCTACTGATTTATTTTATTTTTTTTTTACATGATATTCTTGGGTCATTACGTTGAATATACATTGAGTCTGTGTATGTGTGTGTTTGTGTAGGAGGCAGAGAAGATGGTGGCATCACTGCAGGACACCTCTTTGGAGGAGGAGTGTTTCACTCAGGCTCTGCAGCAGCAGCAGGAGAGCAGGAACACAGCAGCCGCTCTGCCGCTGTCTCATGAGGCCGCCATGAAGTGGTTCTACAAGGACCCACAGGGAGAGATCCAGGGTACATTCACACACTTGGGAATTTACAGCCACTTGAACACATATGAATATTGCTTCACTGGATCACAGCACTAAATTGTCTGGAAACATTTAAATGAGGTACACAAAGTCAGGCACATTACCACAGGGTTTGCATTGTAAACTCATCTCTGTCTCTCCCACCCACTACCAGGGCCCTTCACCACAGTGGAGATGTGCGAGTGGTTCCAGGCTGGCTACTTCACCATGACCCTGCTGGTGAAGCGGGGCTGTGACGAGGGCTTTCAGCCCCTGGGGGACGTCATCAAGATGTGGGGCCGCGTGCCCTTCGCCCCAGGGCCCTCCCCGCCGCCCCTGCTGGTGAGACAGCCACCACCAACGCAGCGCCCGCAGCCCAACCGGGGGCCCGCCGGGACTGTGAGTCAGAGCTCAGCCAACGTAGAGGATGGGGAGGGGAGGATGCAGAGGAGAGGGAAGATTGATAGACAGGTTATGGTAATAGAAAATTAATTAATACAAATTAATTCAAATAAAGTTTAAGTCACATTAGGGGTTTTTTATTTCAGAGTTTCTGAAATTAACCCCACAAAACAAAACATGCTTCTGTCATTTTAATTGTGTTACACTTCATTTCTGGATTACTTTCTTATAGTCTGTGCAGTGGGGAAGATTCAATAATCTGACCTCAGTCAAACAAATGACATTTTACAATGCCCTCCAGTTATAATCACTGGCTGCATGTAAGCTTCAAATTGTTGGAGAAGAACAGGGCAGGCTCCATACCATACATAACACTACAAGTATGGTCAGGTACCCCTGTTTCCCTGGTACTCTTTTTCCTAATGTGGAAACCCAGACTAGTCTGACAAGTCTGGTTAAAAAGAAAGGATAATCCCCTGTTAAATGGTGGTATCAGTGGGGTCCAAAAGTCCCACTGTATAAATGCCATTGTAAAAACCTCAAGCAGTGCTTTCTGTGACTTGGCCGACTATTTATGTGATAACTGTCTTTGGTGTCCTGAGTTTGAAGATGCATTGTACTGACTGGTGATCTCTCTCTCCCTCTCTCTCCTTTTTCAGGGAAACCTGGACCAGGAGCGCCTGAAAAAGCAACAGGAGCTGGCAACAGCAGCTCTTTATCAGCAGCTCCAACAGCAGCAGCTATTCCAGCTCATTAACAGGTGGGCCTATGGGGCTTGTGATGGTTTGTCCTGACATGTCTGGACTGGTTTACATTAATTTGTTTGTGTCCTAGTTTCTGATTTATTATAACTTTTTGACTTAAATTTTCATGTCGGAATTTTGTGTTTGTGTTTTTGTGTGTGTGTGTGTGTGTGTGTGTGTGTGTGTGTGTGTGTGTGTGTGTGTGTGTGTGTGTTTTCCAGGTGCAGTGAGCAGGGTATGATGCCTTCGATGAACAGATCGATGTCAGTGCCAGATACAGGGTCCATGTGGGACATGCATACCTCAGCTTCACAGCCGTCAGGTACTTTTCTAGCCTCAAGCTGCTTACACATATACTGTATACACACATTTACACATGCATTAAAAACACATGAATAGACAGTATATCATGTGTGGCTAAAAAAATCCAATTCAATTTCCCTGTAGGCGGTGAAGCCAGTCTTTGGGACATAACAATGAATCCTTCTACTCAGGGTCCAACTCTCGAACAGCTTCAAAAGGTGAGTAAAGTCGAGAGCATTTCAAGCGATGAACACAATGCATTTGTAGCATGTATAGCATTTTACATTGTTGGTCATGTCAGTTTCATTGTATTTCACTGTCAACAGAAACATTTCAACTGAAACGAGTAAAAGCAACTGTTTTTGCTGCATATAAAAAAAATTGAGATTATAAGTGCTGCTAGCTGCTCACTGTAATCTCAGTTTGTGCCTGTTATCCTGTGTGACTGTTGCTCTTTGTTTGTTTCCCCTTTAGCTCCAGCAGGAGAGGCGAGACGCTGAACTCAGGGCGAAGCGTGAGGAGGAGGAGCAGCGTAAGAGGAGGGAAGAGAAGAGGAGGCAACAGGAGGAGCAGAAGAGGAGGGAGGAGGAGGAGCTCTTCAGACGCAAGCAGGTGAGATGAAGGAAGGAGATTTTTCCATCCTCCCCTTTACTTTAGATTTAATCATAACAGCCAATAATACCCTCAAATCCCTGAAAAAAAAACCCTCAGCCCTCTGTTTTGAAACAATAGTGTGTTGACGTATTGCTTTAACTAAATCAGCGAGGTTAACTTGAAAACGGTGGCTTTCAATGCAGTTTACCAAGTAATAAAAGGACTGTAGCTATTAACTGTTGACATCTCTCATATCCTCCTATAGTGTCGTCAGCAGCAGGAATTGATCATGAAGTTGCTGCAGCAGGCCCCCCAGCAGCAGGGTCCTGGGGCAGGCGGCTCAGGCTGGAGTGGGGGTCCCTCCTCGGGGCTCACCAAAGCAGGAAAGTCCCCAGCTCTGGCTCTGATGGAAATGCAGCAGGAGGCAGAGAGGCTCCTGAAGCAGCAACAGCAACAGAGAGCCCAGCAACAGAGGGACCGCGTGAGTTTCATACTGGGATAATGTTAGCATGTTGTTGGGAATGCTGATCGAAAATCCGATATTTTTGGTCATAATAATCAGTCTGATTTATCTCTGTGTTTCCAGCACCCAGGCATGTCGATGGGGAGCTCCTCCATGGGAGGGCAGTGGGTGGAGGGTGTTGGCATGTGGGGTGGACCTGGAGGAATGGAGGGTAAAAGCGGCAGTGGAGGCTCTTCAGGCAGCATGGGCATGTGGGACGAGGCTGTGAAGAACCAGGCCAGCCTGCGTGGCAACAGCAACAACATGGGACTGAAAAACAGCCGCAGCAGCCCGTCACTCAGGTACATATAGGATTGAATAAACTAAAATGCACTGTTGAATGACTCAATAAAACTCAGTGAAGCTCAAAATAGTGTAGATACCTTTTTTTTTTTTTTACAGTGGCATATAACATTGCAGAATTAATGTATGTTTTTCAGTTGGTCTGTAATAAATATGCTTTCATTCCTGTATGTCCTCTGCAGTGATCAGTACATGATGCGTCGTAAGCGGACAGAAGAGGAGGAGAAGCTGCTGAAGCTGCTGCAGGGCATGAAGCCTCAGGATGGCTTCACCACCTGGTGTGAACAGATGCTGCACGCTCTGAACACCTCTGCCAACAACTCCTCCTCCTCTCTGGATGGTAGGCTGCTCAGCTTTTATGTATTTAGCAGTGTCAAGGGTGAGGGAAGTTCAACCTAGATAGTGAATTGCTATGTGTTAAATAAAGCACGTTTAGTATTTATGTGTGTATATATAAATGAATTAACCTCAACCTTTGTCCCCACAGCAGCATTGCTAAAGATTTAAACTGTGTCTGTCTTTATTTAGTTGCCACAATTGTGGCATACCTGAAGGAGGTGGAGTCTCCCTATGCAGTGCTGGACTTCATCCGGTCCTACCTTGGGGACACAGTGGAAGCCAAAGAGTTCGCCAAACAGTTTCTGGAGCGACGTGCCAAACAGAAAGCCAACCAACAGAGACAGCAGCAGCAGGTAGGCCTGAGCTCAAAAGGTTTTAAGTCAAGAACAGCAAATGTCAGAAACAACCTGTTGAGGCACTGCCATCAGTTCAGAATCCAAAACTAAAAAAGAGAAAAACTTTGACTTTTCTCTGTGTTAGGCTACATCCACACTAATACGCTTTCATTTTAAATTAAAAATGATTTCTGTCCATATTAAAATGCATGAAAACACATATCACATGAACATTCACATTCGCTGGGCATGTGCTTGCTGGTGTAAACAACAAGCTGATTGTCTGTTCTGCAGTTGATTAGTAGCAGAAAATACATATTAACAGCAAAGGCAGCTGTAACATTATAAAATTCAAGAGTAAACTGCACAGCAGCTGCTAGCAAAGACAACTAGGTCAGCATCACTTAATTTGTTATCCATGTTGCATTCACCACTAGTAGTCGTGACAGTCATTTCCAAAACGCTCAGTTTTTGCCTGTTCAAACTAAAACACAACCCCAGAGTTTTCAAACTAAAATGGGTCCAGCAACGTTTCCAAAAGTCTGTTTTATGGGCTCAGACAGTTAACATGTCTTCTGATGGCTGGTGTAAGAGCATAGTGACTAAATATCTGACCTTCATTGGACCTGACCTTCATGGTTTCATTGGAAACTAAAAATTACGCCATTTACTGAGTGCACAGTATCAAATGTTACTTTTTTCTTTTTTTAAGTTTTTAATGTCAGTTATTTTAATTTGTGCTACAGACTTTTTTTAGTTTTATTGAATGAAGGTTTATGGTGGCAGCTATTAAACTGGTGCGAAAGTTACAAATGAATGAATGAATGCAGAAGCAAGATTACTGTCCGTGTTTAGTAGATTTTGATTTACAGATTTAGAGAATGTCCCTGTTATATTTTGTGTTGAATGAAGTGATATGTATGGATGTTGATTTGACATGAGAGACAGTTGTGTAATACTCTGCTGTAATGACACATGATTGTAAATACTACTTAGCTTACAGTTACAACAATAGAAACCGTTGAGTGTGACCTGTATGAATTCACCCCCCTCCTCTTCTTTATTGCCCTAGTTATCAAAGGAAGTGGCTGGATTGAACATGAACTTCCCTCTGCAGGTAATCGCAAATATGTCTGTATACTGTACATAAACACAGATGGCATTAGAGTTGTGGGGAGAAGAAAGTGGTTGTTGTTGTTGATGTTGTGTTTGTTGTTTCCTGCTGTTATACAACAAACCTGACATGTTTTTTAACAGTAATACCTAATGAATGTTGCATAGTATGTGACCTAAAGGCTGCTACAGACTAGCAAACAGTTGTTGCTGCCAGGTGCTGCTCTTTGTTCAGTAGACAAACAAGGCTGAGTTGATTTTACTTTTAACTCTCAGGCGCATTGTCACAGTTTGTAATTTACTTCAAGCCTAGTCTAATCTCTATAGCATGGAATATGAAATCTTATGAGGCAAGAAAATTAAGTTAGTTTTCATTTCAGCAATTATCTTTGGCTTTGTAGTGTTGATTAATCTGTTTAATTCTAATTCTGGCTAATTCCCCTCCTCTCCTCTCCTCTCCTCTCCTCTCCTCTCTTCTCTTCTCTTAGGACTCAATGCGAGGTATGAATCCAAGCACCCTGCAGTCCATGTTTCAAGCCAACCACATGGGCAAGGCTGGTCTCTATGACAACCAGGGGGGGAAGATGAAAAAGAAACAGCCCATGATGCTGCACTCTGACCCCAGCATCTTAGGTAAGTGACCTCACTATAAATTAAATGAATCTTCTTCTTGATTTGATTCATCTGTAAATGCTCAGAATCTATAAATAGCTTGTTTTAAATATCTTGACCAGAGATTATATAAAACACAACCTGTCAACAAAAACACCAGCTACACAATCCCACATCAAAGTTAGACTTTATACAAAACAAGATAAAACGGAAAATGTAATTATCAGCAGGAATCAAATGGAATCGATCAAAGGCGAAAAAGGACGAAGTGCAGGCTTCTGAAGCAGCAGCAGAAAGTATTACACCACCCTGATGACTTATTTACACACGCTCGGCTTGACGCTCACTTTTTTTTCCCAAGGAGCACATGTGATCCTTAGTTGAAAAATTTTTCAGGGGCGCAATGAAAATATATCAAATAATGTGTTTTTCCTTAATGAAGGGATAGAAGGAGACATCCACAAACAAAATTATTTAATTTATTCAAATAAAAAAATGACATAAGTTTTTAACCTCTTCGCCCAATGGACCCAGTACCGGGTCCAGCAGAGCGGTGCAATATATAATTGCTTATAAAAAGTTGATAGAACGCTGTGGTGGTCTCTTTTTTTTTAATGCTTCTATAAGACAAGACTTTAATGCTACCATAAACAGTCCAAGTGTATTTAGTCCAAAGAATGTTTGTTTGGCAATAATTTCAATATCTCTGTTTCAAAATAAGACCCCTATCAATGTAAACAGACAGTTGAAATGAAATGCAACAGTACATGTAATCCGCTTGCTCCATCCCACCATGCTGGGTGGCGTATGAAACTAAAGAAGCTACTCTTTCCATTGATAGCAAGATTAGCGTAGCCTGAGCTAACCAGCTCATGTCAGCCCCGAAGCAGACACGTGACCAAACTTCTCATTTTACAGTCCACATGTCAAAGTTTGGGTTTATGGCTAAATATTCCATCATATCCCAAAGCGGTTCTAATCAAAAGCAACAGATATTGTTTCCTTACCCTTTCCTGATCATTTTGAGTCTATCCTTACGATTTTCCGGTCAAGTTGGCCGAGATGGGAGCCTGAATAGCAGAGACTGAGCCACAAGCCTGAATTTCGTCTTTTGTTGCCATCAATACTTTTATTGTATTTTGAACTTTGTATATAGTATGTTATATGTTTATATTTCACTTTTAAAATGTCTATGAAGTAGAATCAACCTAATATAGCAATTTAGATACCCTGGAAGAGATTCAGAGGCAATATGGAGACAAAATTATACAATTTAGTTTTACACACGTTAATGAAGTGGCTCAGGGTTGTATTGTGTGCACATAGCCTCCTGTAGTGGAAATCATTAGTAGTTTGTAGCCAGATGTCATGTCAAGAGGTAAAAAAATGGAGAGTCCACCTGGCATGTGCTTGGTGGTATTCTACCTATATTGTTACAGTTGTAGTTAAGAAGTTGCTGAATGGAATCAGTGGCATCCCAGTGCATGGGACCAATGTTATCATGGTGTTATCCACTGTTTAATTAAAATAAATTCTAGATGAGGGAAGAAAAAAAAATCTTTATCACAATTTACTCAGCTATAGTAACAGTCACAATGTTACTTACACGTGGAATAAATTCTCTGAGCTCATTCCTATCCATAGTGACCAGAGCTCTTGCAAATGGACCTGATAGTTGTGAAGCTATTCTTGATCTATTTTGGGTACGTCTGTCTAGGCGAGGCATACCAGCCAGCATCCCTAGGGCTTAACAGGTTAAATTGTTTCTTATTATTTAATAGTTATGTAATTTATGCTTTAAACTGCATAAAGAGTGAAAATGGTATGCACACTTGCTCACACATTGGTTTGGAGCAGTGACATGACATTGTTTTGTTATCAACCTTTTGTTGACAAAAAAGAAAGAGGCTACTAGGTCTGAATTTTGTAATATTTTTTTATTTGCACACATGCTCCTAAATATATTTTACAGTTTGCGTCTATTTTTAGTCCCAAATGTGAGTGGAACGTCACATTGTCTGTCGAGCCCTGCCACTCCAGGTGGCGAGTAGGATGTGCTCATTGGGTTGGCTTATGTCTGAAGTTTATTTATGTACCCATGAGCTATGTGGAGCATAAACACCGAGATGGGATCTGGCTCATCCCTGAGGTAGATGGAAGCAGGTGGCCAAGCAAATGTGATAGAGGTAAAAAAAAAAAAAAAAAAAATGGCTATTAGAATCACAGGTATAGATGCAGCCATATTATTCAGATTTAAAAATGAGGGGAAAAGTGTCTGCAGACTGAGTTTTACAAGCTCCTCAGTTATTTACACTTAAAAAAGCCTGGGGACAGTCGTTCTGGCAGGAATGTATTGGAATTGCATAATCTGATAATCGGTACATACACGGAGCTTGTAATATTCAATGTGCACATTACCCCTCATTCTTCATTGTAAAACACTGATCTTGTCCAGTACATTTTCTTTACTTAGCTTAAATTTGTGTACTAATTGTGTACTTTCTGCTTTTTTGTGATGGTTTCTGTCTCATAGAGCTTCTCCAAACATTTAGAAATACTGTTTAACTTTTCCAGAACTGAAGGGCTCCTCCTAAATTGAGACCATCAGATAGTTTCTGGATTGCAGATTTGTCTCCTGCCTGCACTGTCTAAGCCAGCCCTTTAAACTCCCCCATGTCCCATCCTCCTCTGATCTCACTTTGCTCTCTCTGTCTCCTCTCTCTGCCCTCCCCTCCTCCCTGCAGGGTACTCATTCCACAACACGGGCGAGTGTCTGAGCCTGAATGAGATGGAGATGGTGGAGGATTACTGATGTGACGCAGCGCAGCAGCAATAGCTACCTGAGGCCTTCTGTCTTTTAATCAGACAAACCTGATGACGAATGTGCACTGCTGGGGGAACCGGGGGTGGGGGTAGGAAGGGAGCGCGCATGAGGGGAGGTGCAGGGTGGAGGCGCCTGGATCTGCGCCTGCCACTCGTTCCTTCCCTCTGGAGAGAAAAAAAGGGCTCCCTGCTGCACCAGTTGATCACTTGAGCAGGGGAGAAGGGGGTGAGGAGGGGTGAGGTTAAAAGGAAGATGGGTATCCTCTGGCACTCAAAAGATTAAGCACCTTATACTGAACTAATGCACTTTATTGAGAGGGGATTTGAATAGTTTTTTTTTTTTTTTCGTGTATGTATGTATGTGTGAGTGTTTGGAATCAGTGTGCACACAGTGTGTGTACATACACATCATCTGTGTGCATTTGCATCGGAACTGGAAGGGGGCGGTGAAAAAGTCGGTGGGGTGAATGGTCGGGCTGTTAGGTTTTCAAAGTCAGGGGGACCTTTAGTTGAAACCTTATCAGAGAGCAAATCCTTTCTCGAAAGACAAACACTGTTGATATTTCTCTTGTTTAGCATTTTTTTACCTTTATATAAAAAGTAAAGCTATTGAAAAATGGATTATAAAAAAACTTGAAGATTTGCACTTGCCTAAAAAAGAAATAACAAAAACAACAAAAAAATCAAACAAATGGGGTTAGTTATAGAAGTGAATATTTTTTTGTGAATGTGTACGAATGACTGTGAGAGTGACTGATGTGAGATGGTTGGTTTGTGTCAGTAATATACCAGTCTGCACAATGTTTTTTTTTTTTTTTTCTTTTTCATTTGTTGCTTACCAAGATGTATGAAACATAAGAGGCCATTTTTGTCTTTTTTGTTCAAATGGTAATTTTGTATTCTCATGTTTAGAGAGCTTATGTGTGTATGTGTCCCTTCTCCAAACAGGGACTTGATCTCCATGTTTTGAGAGTGAATGAATGAGAGAGAAAGAGAGAGAGAGGGCAATTGCACAACACATCCTTTCTCTCACCAGCTCTTCATCCCCAGATAGACGAAATAGAAATGCATACATTTGTAAATGTCAGCTTTTGCGCTCATCACATGATGACCACCACTAGTTCATTTCCCTTTGCTTCTCCCCACAGGGAGCTGTCTCTAGACCAGTGAGGACTAGTAGACAGGGCAAATCATGAGGGACATTACTGTGTGTGCATCTGAATGAGACTTTGTGTGTGTATGTGTGTGTGTATGTGTGTGTGTGTATATGTATGTATGTGTGTGTGTGTGTGTATGTGTTTTCAGAGTGCATGTTCATTTACTGTTCATAGAAATGAGTTAAGACTACAGGTACTCATTTTGAATACATGTGCTTTTTTGTATGTGTATGAATGCACATTTGTGCCTAAGAACTTGGATAGGGTGCGTGGCCATTGAGACATTAACTCTTTTTTGAGAGCAAGTGTGACGTGTGTCAGTGCTCAGCACAGTGTATGTAAAGTATGTAAGTTTATATCGTAAATATTTCTAGTTCAGTCTAGGGGTGATCCATCGGAAGGTTAGTCCAGTCTGTTTTCCTGGGGTGTGATCACGTTGCCTTTTGTCAGCTCTCGAACTTGTGAATGAAAGGTGTCGAGTTTCTGACTCTGAAAAAAAAAAAATACAGCATCTTAATGTGCAAGTGCACAGAACGGTGCATGAAATGTTAGCATATTGTGTTACTTATTCGTTGTTGCAATTTGATAATGACGAGTTTTCTTTTTTTAATGAAAAATATATATGAATATATACATTATATACAAAGTTTAAAAAGTATTTGGACTAAGATAATGAGCACTTGGGGCTGCTATTTTTGTTGTGTTTTTAATTTTTTTTTCCTTAATTTGTTTTTCATTTTGTTTCATTATCGCCATGTGAAGTGTGTGTATTATTTCTTAAGAAAATATTGAATGTATTCCAAAAAAATGACAAGAAACCCGTGCTGATACCAGATATTATTTTTTCCTCAGAAGATTTCAAAAATGGAAACAAAATACAAAAAAGCTTCAGTTTAGCGAGGTCTTTTTATTTTTTTTTTTATTTTCACAGTGGAGAAGAAAAAAAAAAAAACTCGGGATGGATACAGTTGAACACACTGCCTCTACAATCCTGGTCGTACAAATAGTGACTAAGAATTCAAAGAAAGGACTCTTTCTATTCCATACTGGAGCTTTGGTTGTTTACAAACCACATGGATATCTGTGGGTGCAGTTTTGTTTTTTCTTTTTTGTTTGTTTGAATAATTTTTTTTTTTTTTTTTTTGTTCTAAGATAAGACGGGTGGGGTTTGCAAGTGCGCTTCTGCCATATGGACATTGAGTGGTGTTGTTTTTTTTGTTTTTTGTTTTGTTTTGAGGAAGAGTGGCAGGCATCACAATAACATGGACAAGATCCTCTAACTGGACCCTTTGTGTGCGGTTGTGGATCCTGAGACTCGATGATCAACCATGGAGCGAAGGCGGGAAAATCAAGGATTGGCTCTGTTTTGTGGAGAACGGAGTGCAGGGCTGCATAACCCTGGAGGGAACTGAGAGGGCGATATGAGTACACCTGGTTCGTGCACTTGTTTTCACCTCAACCCTCATAAGCACTCACACCCTGCCCTCACCAACTCACCTATGCACTTTTGTTCATTCAAGCTGTGAGGTACCATTTTGGGGATGGGAGCACAATTACAACAGGAGGATTGCTACGACTTTGACAAAGTCACTGAAAAGATATTCCCAAACTGAAAAAAGAGACTCGAGAAGCACGTCTTCTCCCACCTCCTGTATATAACCATATTTTTGTATTACCTTTCAGAGTAGAAAGAAAAGTTGCAAATGGATGAAGGAAAATTCATGAGACATTGATTATATGGAGTGAATGTTCTTCAAGAAAACCAATCTTTTTTGAAAATAGTTTGAGATAGAACTGCTGTGAGTTTCCCGTAGTTTGCCAGTAACCCTGAAATAATCGGGGATGGAAGGGAAAACCACATTGAACATGAACTGAGGTGCTCGACATGCTACAGTGTCTACAAGACTGACTGATAGTTAATTATCAAAGTGGATGTTGCAGTGGCTACAAAGCCCCGCCCAAGAGTGTTTGATCAACATACACAGTAAAGAGGCAGACGGGTTAGAAGAAGCTGTCGGCAAGGGTGCTTCCACTTCGTCTCCAAACCTGATGACTGCCTCGAGAGCTGTAGCATGACTGCAGGAGCAAAAATCCTTGGATTTGGTAAGAGATGTTTGCCTGATTTCTTCTTTGCTTGTTGTTGCTGTATATTCAGGACTTGATCATTTTGATGTACTTCCAGATAACCTTGTGGTACTTTTTAAGAAAAAAAGGAAGATTGTTTGATGATGACGGTCTTGTGCTCTTTTTTTTTTTTTTAATCTTCTCACAGGTGTCTGGCTGTGCTTTATTTGCTGCCCTCTACAATGAGGATCTAACCTACAGTCAACCCATGAACCAGTTAACCCTAAACCTGTCCTTTTGAACTTGAACCCTAAGAAACTTTTCTGTCTTGACCTCAGACTGGGCAGGCCGGTGGCATTATCAGTTGGACAGTTACAAGATGAAGTTACAGGTTTTTCAACCATGGATCCCATCTGTGTTTGAAGTGTTAAGCTGGGCATTTGATCAGGCACTCTCCGGCGAGGAAGAGGATACATAGACACGAATTGCCCAGATGTCATCATCCACCTCGGCCTGAAACTCTTGGGTGGTGCGTGGAGGTCTTCTAACCAGCGGGACTCCTGCTAGGACGTCAGAGACAGAGCTGGGTCGGGTTTCGGTGGATGTGGCTGGATTACATCTAAGCCAATAGAAATCCCTGCAGCTGTGGAACTGGATGAACTGAAAGAATTGTACAGAAAAATAGACTTTGAAACATGACAAAATACAAACACGTAGCGACATGTCACATAGATTCTAGAGTCCAAAGGAGTGGCAGACACTACATGCACACTTACAACAAAAAAGCAACGTACACTCAGTTACATTGGCTCTCCTCTGGAACCGCATCTGTACACATAACAGGGCTACATCAATATCAAATCACATAAGACATGTACAGACACACACAAGCATCAATGCTCTTCACTATAAATGCTGAGCTCTGTAAATAATGTAAAAGATGGGTGTTTTGATTTTTTTCTTTTTTTTTTTTTTCTCATAGTGGGTTTTTGCTTTATTTCTCTGTTCAACATGCCTTAAATTGTATAGTTCAGTTCTGAACAGCTAACTGAAAATGTTCTCTGAATGATGAATTTACATTGGAAACCACCTTGTTACCTGTCCTCTAAAGTTAAAGAAAGGAAGGAACTTTCAACAAGACTGTTTTCTGTTGGCTAACAGAACTGTCTGTTCTGTTTTAACTTCATAAATGTACATCTGATCACCATGAAAGTTACTAATTAGCTACAGAATAGAGCAGCAAAGCGGTCTTTGATTAATCTGATTTTTGCTGGTGGTTGGCTTATGTTGCCCTTTTGGTTTCCTTAAAATGAAGAGTGGATTTGTTTAGATTTTTCTTTGTAGATTATTGCTAACAGTGCAGGCTGAAGTCTGTACTGTCTGGAGCTGAGCTGACAGGGTGAGATGCACAGAACTGGCACAGACTTGTTGTGTGATGACTGTTGTTGGATACACTGCTCTAGGCAAAACTGAACCAGGGTGACAGGTCATCTGCAAATTGAGATACAAACTGGGGCTGTTTCGTTCATTTTTTTTTTTTTTTTTTTTTTACACTCCGGGGACTTAAATGTTTTGGAAGCTACTAGGTTCTTTTTACAGTTTTGAGATGACGACTCGGGCTTGTGTAAGAAACGTGACTGTTAGAGCAAGCTTGCATGATTTGTAATATTTGTGAGTTTTGACACTAAACCTTGAGGTGGGTCACGGGGGGCTTTTGCTCTCTCTGTGCACCTGGTAGTGTTGCTGACCATCTCGGGTGGCCCTGAATAGAGAAGGACTCGACCATACAGTTGTGTTACCTGAAACGAAATTCCTCAAAATTGGGTAGTGTCTTGTTCAGTGTATGTATACCTAACTGGATATGAGAGATTAATGCTTTTAGTCGACCAGTAGTTTCTTCTTTTTTTTGTATCCTTGATAAGTAAACAATATGCAGTTTTTAATTGAAATGACAACTGATATTCATTGAAAACCATCAGCTTGGACTTGTAATACACTTGTACATTTTGATTAGCTGAGGTTTTGGTGGACAGTTACCTGCCATAGCTAACTGTGTAAAATGTGGTAGCCACAGCAGGCTCCAGCATGTCATAACTGTTGAATTGATACTGACGTAATACTAAATGGTTTCTATATTAAAGTAGTTGTAATCAGTTGCCAAAACGGAGAAATTGACTTTAAACATACAAGTATGCTATCAAGTCTCTGTGGATGACTTTAAATATACCAGTGTTTGACATTTTTAAAAGCTGATCTTGTGTGGCATTAGTTGTTGGTAAGTCAGTCTGTCTTAAAAGAGTGAACAGTAGTTGTTTTCAGTTTATTTTACTGAACTACAAAAGCTTTTATAATTAGTTAAAATGGATGTTTGGTTGTAAGCCTTTGAAAATTTCATGTCACAGCCTGTCCTCTGACAGTATGAAGTTGATCATCCGGTTAATTGTACCTCTGGTAACTGTAGTTCCAACAATATTAGCTGTTATACCCCAGTCAGCTCAGCTCCTTTGCTTAAAAAGTCTTTGAATGTTGTTAAAAATAACAGCATACATGTAATGAAACTGTTTTGGAAAAGAACAACTGAAAGATGTGTAAATAGTTTGGCTTTTGTTTGTTTGAAGAACAAAATAAATACTAAATAAATAGCATTTAGCAGTGACTGACTCAGTATTTATTTCCTACCTACATTCAGAATCTATGACATAAACCCGTTACTGGGCCGAATGAGTGTCTCAACGTTATTACCGCCATTCTCGCGATAGCTCGACACATGGCCGCCTACTATTTACAACTCGTAATGAGCTGGTGAATGGAAACAAAGTCCTGAAGTAGAGGGACTTCAGATAGTCTTCTACGTTACTTGTACTCTCCGGCTTTAGGTGAAACTTTGATACCGTCGAGGAAAAGCGTGTGGACAGCCGAACTGCGAGCAGAACCAAAGGACAAGCAAGCCACAATACAGGTATGTAGCATCAGACGGCTAGCTTAGGCTAATGCTAATATGAGCTAACGTGAGGTGGTTACTGTCTCTGTTGTGGACGGACGGTTAAAGGAAATTGAAACATTTTGCCTTCGTTTTCAGAGTCATTTTTGTTATATAACGTGCATAGAGTAAACCGTGTACGTTTTGGTGATGTATGTTCTACCTCGCAAGCGTTAACTTCAAAATCAACATGCACGTTATGACTAGCTACAGGTGTCTGTTAGGTGTCTGTTATTTATTCCTCTAAAGATTAAACGTCCCGTTTACTTTTAATTGATAGGTGTGTTTAAATATTATTTAAGCGGTCTTATACTTTTACATTGTTTTGATGTGTGTTTTGTATCGTCTAGTGCCGTTGGTCTCACTTGCCCTGTTACCCTTTCACCCTTACCGGCCTCATTCTCTTTCTAGGCTAGTGGGTGCTGTGATGTCCTCGACTCCCAGCAGACTCAAACACCCACACTGCAGGAAGAAGCACTATCCTAGTAGCACTTACCTCACCCACGTCTGACAGCCAACCGCCTGACACAAGGCACTTGGACCCCAGGTAGAGGACTTCACAGAAGATATTGATAAACACAGAGAGATGTCCGACTCGGCTGGAGGTGGTGAAAGCGGAGGTGTGGCAGCCACAGGTCAGGACACAGAAGCTGACAATGAGCCCCCCCATCGGGCCCCACTTTTATTTGAAGGTGACCACTTACAGTTGGGGGAGCTCCGGGAGGAAGGGGCAGCCCCGGCTGCCAAGCGGCTCAGGATGAGCGGAGAGGAACACGGGCAGGGACGGGTTGCAGAGCCCGTCATGATGCATGGAGAAACACCAGCACAGGCTGGCTTGCTGCCAGAAGACTCAGCGTCACCAGCACAACGTAAAGTACCTGGTTTCCAAAATCTGTTCATTTGAGTTATGATTTTGGATGTCTGTTAGAGATTATGATTCAGGATTAATTTGAAGATTAATTAATTAATCTGTACGAAATTACTCTTTGATTTCAGGCACAGGAGAACCAACAAAATGTGAGGAGAAAGATCAAGGAGGGGAAGAGGTACCTGTCAGTGACAGAGGTGAAGATGAATGCCATGAGAATGGAAATGGGGGGCATGATGCACCCTTAGACGAAGGAGAGACAAAATCAGAGGAGGAGCTCAACGCTAACGGATCTGCAGACAGCCCCAGTGATGGGCAGCAGTAAGTGGAGGAAGAAGTCAGGTTTATTTTTAACCTGAGGGTCCACATAACTTGGAGTAAAGATACAGCAGGCAGACCATCAAGGGAGCTATTTGTAGCAGGATTTTCTGAGGTGGTGGTGATGTTATACAATAATTATGAAGATGAGTAAAACTCAAATGTTTGCGAAATGGTGGAAAAAGCTCTTGTGACTACTGCAGAGCAAGAGGTTTTGGTAAATGCAAGAATGCAAATGATGACGCTTGATAAAATGCTGACCAAAATGCTGTACTCATGCCACTGTTACTTGATCATATCCTTTGATGGCCTGCGTGCACGGTCACTACACTAAACACTCATGGTTTATTTTTTCCTCTGGTTTGTGATTTTAAATTTAATCTGTGCATCTAGGGAATCATCTTAAAAGATAATTCTTGTTATTTTTAGACATTATTTTCCTTATATGTACCACTTACTGCTTGTTGTAGCTTCTGGCTAATAGCATACTATGCCCCAGAACATGCTCAGAGCAAACTATGACAGCACTACCGATGAAACTTAATAATTGCAGTATCATAGATGCTATTTTAATATTAATAAGAAATACAGCTCATGCACCATAAACTAATATGCATGAAAATGGTTAAAATCTCTGGCATCACTATGTATGTCAACAAAGCAGTTAACTTAGCAGGCTTTCCACTGATGGCAAGTTCAGTTATAAAAAAAAAAAAAGATTGTTATAATCAACCACACTTACAAAAATGAGACAAATTATGCTGTTGTAGATCTTCAAACAAGTAAAACATGTAAAGAATAAAATCAGTCTAAAGCGACTAGAAACCCCAGCAGGACATTATATGGATGTGTGAGAATCTGATTGTGATCCAAACATTGTGATAATTGAGCGGTCGCAGCTATTTGAACATGTATGATTGCCTTGTGAGTGTTAGTTGTTGTGTGAGACGTTGCTCTGATTCCTCTGGATGTTTTGTAATAGCACTTGTGTTGAAGTGGGCTGGCAACAACATTGACTGATTAAATATTTAACACCATCAATCATTATAATGGCAAAATTTGGAGAAGATGACATTGGGGAAAAACGATAGACTTAACCTGCAGAGCTATGAAATATAATTAGCAATCCACTCTACTTTGGAGTGACACTGTCTAAACAGAGCAGTTCAGAATGTGCCAGTGAAAAGATCAAAAGATAAAATTCACCATATATGTTCCTCTTTGGTTTTGTGTTGACACTTTGTTTTATATGCAAACAGCATTGTCACAGGCTGTGAAATTCTGAAGATATCTACCTTAATTAAACCAAGACAAAGTGTTTGTTGCATTTATCCAGAAGCCTTTATATCCTCCAGACTGATGAGATGGGAAATTCATTTTTTCAGTGGAATGGATGAGTTTGTTGTGCAATTTATTTGTTCTCTGTTTACAATTCTTTGACCAAGGACCTGTCCTGTTCTCTATCCCGCCCCCAGCCTTGGCTTAGATTTTACCCAGAACCCCCAAATGCTGACTGGTTCTTGGGCTGAGTACTCAAGCCTTCCAGAGAATTACCTGAAGGGCTGCAAATGGTAATCTTTTCTAATCTTAACACAACACAAAGTACATCAAGGATGAGGGTTTGAAGTTGTTAAATATAAAACTTTATTGTGAGGCATTTTTCTGATTACCATAAATAAAACTACTACAAGGACACCTACACTGCATTTTACATTTCTGTGTCCTGTGGCAGAAACCAAGGACAGTTATTGATCTGATGGATTACAGTGAAAAAATAACTTCCTGTCCAAATGAAGTTAAAGGATCAATTCCACTATGTTTATCTTTCTTAGTAGGGTTGAACACTAGCACTAACACTACCTTAGATATAAGAAAGGCTACCAGTTACCATGATCTCTCAAGATAAATCAAAATCTCAGTTTTGTAGACAATGTTGTTTATGCTTACTGCTATAAATACCAGCTTTATTACAAGCATTACTTACTGTACAATATCTGCAAATACTTGTTCTCTTATTGCAACTTCTACATGAAACAAACCTCAGTGCAAATTATTCTCAGTTCAAAGTGGTTAATGCACCATCATCTTTTTCTCCTCTTCCCACCTCTCCTAACCTAGGGCCCCTGATGGTTCCTGTATCCTGACTAACAGTGCAGACAATGTGCTCCGTGTATACAACCTCCCTCCAGAGATTTACAGCTACAACTGGGACTTGCTTCCAGAGATGGTGAGCACACAGATAGCCTGTCATCAGTGCCTCTCCTAATGATTGAGTAGGGGATAGCAAAATTAGTTTAAACATTTATAAAGCCCTCAATGCACTTCTGCAAATTTCAAACAGTTCCTCTAGTGCCCCCATCAGGCCCAAGGTCTGTAGGGCAGGAGTGCAACAAATGCATTCTGTTCAATTTCAGTAAATGAAGTAAATCTCCATCAAACTAGAAGGGCACTTAGAGAGTGCAGATCTCCACCAAGGCTAGTGTCAAACAACATACACTACACTTCAGAGAAAAAAATTCAAATTCATAGTAAATGATTAGGATCTGCCCCAGAATTGAATAGGTCCTTCCCTGGCCCTGGTTCCATCCCTCCACCAAGTTTGGTGCAAATTGGTTCAGTACTGAATAATTCACCTCACAAATAAATAGACCCATGTGAAAGCATAACCTCCTTGGCGGAGGTAAAAATCCTCTTTTGCTTCTACAAAGTAGCTCCAATAATTAGATCTAGAACATCTTTGAAATGTCTTCATTATGGCTTTTCAGGAGGAGTCTCATTCTCCAAACCCTGGTCTAACTAATAAAGTTGAATTCATTTAATGATATTGAATCAGTCAGACTTTGGCCTTTGGGTTTGAGGATTCAGACTCATATTTGTTTCCACATCAATCTGTTCTTCAAAGTTTAGTTACAATTTTTAAAAAATTAAAAACATACACATCATGGAGAACACAGTTTATATTTAATTCAGTCCTAATCATACATTGTTTACTGACTGTATTACACTATTCAAAAATCACACCTCTTTTGTGTCTGATGTGTGGGACTAAATTTAGAGCTAACGAGTAGCATGTTAGAGTTAGAAGTCATCTAGGTGGGGACTGAAAATAAGACAGATTTCTTTTAGTTTTAATGCCTTAATCATGTTTGAGATATTTGATATTTCTTTCAGACACTGTCTCGTGTTTGTGAAACTGAAATCATTCCAGTTAAGGTCATCAATCAGTTGTGTGTTATCTGACCTTTTATACTAAGACAGACAGTTGTTGAACATTTTAACATTTATGCTGTGTTGCAACATCAACTAAGAATACAACAAAACAAGCAAAACAATTAGCCAATTATGGCAACTGCTAGAGAAAAAATATTACAATTAGAATAAAATAAGTATTCTGTCTTTTAGCTTTTGGGAAATATCAAGAGGCGAGCCAATCTCTTAATTGTATTACAGGCTGGTAGATTGGGATCACTGAACAAACCCAATTGAAATTTAATCCAATTTCCTCCATTACAGAGATCTCACAGTCTTTGCAAAAAGAGTAGAAAATTGAGCTTTGATTGTTCTATTTCTCACATTGTGCCACAGGCTTTTGATATCAAATTTTACCACAAGGAAAAGAGTGATGGTGTCTTTTAGCCAGCAGTAACAACTTCAACAGTAATAGATCCCATCGGTCAGTTGATCTACTGTGCTTGACTGTCTTTTTTTCTGCCTCTCCTTCTGTGGCAGAGTCCAGTGCTGAGGATGGCAGAGGGAGATACCATCTACGACTACTGCTGGTACCCCAAGATGAACTCTCTGGATCCCGACACATGCTTGTGAGTTGAACTTGATCTTTGCCAGACTATTCCTTAAGCCTCTGCTCTTAACAAGTGGATAGATGAGACATTTAAAGTTCACTTTGAAGGTCAACTTGCCAGATGGTGAAGAATGTATACACAGGAAAGACACTATATTGTCTAAAGAGGCTAATGTCAGTCAGTGATTGATGTCTTTAATCTAGATCTTGGATGGTTAGACAGGGACACTGTGTGTTAGTGTGTGTGAGTAAGGTCCTCTCTTATGCTTGAGTCTGTCTAATAGACTATCTGAATATAGAAGATATTGTTGTATGCTTGTGAGTCATTCTTTGATCCCTGTGGTATTTGCGCTCGTTGTGGGAGCTGGCTGCCAGCGTGGAGAGAAGCTGTAAAAGCTTTCTGATGTCTCTCATTATGAGTGAAGAGTTGGCCTTCGTCTTGTCTGCCTCTGCCTCCGTCGCAATCCGCTCGTCTGTTTGAGACCCACAGTGCTTTTCAGCATGATTCAGCCCACTAACAGCACTCCGGAGCCCAGACAACACCTAAAGGGCCTTATAATTCCCTGATTTAGGGCTTCTCTTTTCATCTTGTTCTCCTTTTTTGCCGTGTGTGAGTGCAGGCGCGCGCTCCAGCAGCGTGGTGATCATGACATCACTGCGTGCTTGTGCACGTGCTGTAAAGCAAAGCCAACATTAGTAACACGCAGCCATCACCGCGGAGAACGCAGATTGTCTGTGGCGAGAGAGGTAGGGCCGTGCTAATGAGCTGAGGTCAAGTTGCCAACAGTTTTCGCTATGTATACCACTCCTCCCCCAGCTCCCATCATCCTCCAGTTGTAGCCTCCACCCTCCGACAGATCCCTCTGATCAAGACCCAGCATTGGCACCATTTCACCCCAACACCAGCCAGCGTTCACTGAGAAAGAAGAGGGGGTAGGGGTCAGGATCTGGACATCTAGAGATGAGAGTTTTGTAAACTGCAAAACGATCAACAATCGACTTGTGAGGACAATGAACCACTTCAGAGGCCTGTGTGTATCTGCCAAAGGTGTGCAAAAACCTGCCTGTCATGAGGATGATGATGCCAGCAGGAGCTGACAGCAGATACTCTTCATCTTTTTTAGATCACTGCCACATATCAGAGAGGAGCTCCTGCAGAGCACAGCCAGGTGGTCGGACAAGCTCGGAGTAGATTGTTAAAGGCTGAGGCAGCCAGATGAAAGGTTGTGGTGGTTATTAAACACATCTACAGCAAGCCTCCTCTGCTGGTACCTTTTCTGCCTCCCTCTTTTCACTTCCCCCATTTTGTTTCTCGTTTCTCCCCCAGCACTCCTTGAACTCTCCGTCTGCCAAAAGCCATTTGTTGTTGATGCCCCTCCTGTAGAGAGGGAATAAGGGCCCCTGTTATGGCTCGGTTAAGTTGCGCTGAGTTCTAGGCATTGCTCCAAGCTAGCAGCAGTCTAGCATTATAATTGGGCATTTCCCTGCTCTGGAATAAAGCTGCGGCTCAGAGGGGCCATAACAGAACACGGCAGCAGCGGTAGGGGCTAATTTCCTTTGTCTAATTGAGCCGCAGTGATGTTTCGGCATTTGTTCAGTGTCCAATAATTAGAGTTAAAAAGGCATGGCTCAGTCTTTGGCCCTGATTTGAATCAATAAGAATGTGCTGTCGTCTTATCTCCATAATGAGGCATAGCACAATGCTGTGTATTTGTTTTGATGTATTGATACATCCAAGTGGATGTGGTGCAGTAGGTTAGAAAAAAAGAAAAAGAATCAAACATGTTTTTCATACATAATGCATGTATCAAAAGAATCTCAGCAGCATATTTCATTCGAATCTCTTTTTTATCCTCCAAGATGCAGGTATAATTCTGTTTTATTCCACTAGTTACTTTGCTTTTAACCTCTAAACTGAGTCATCTGTCAGTCACTAGCTTTAAAGAAAAAAAAGCCCTCAGGGACAATAAAGATCGACTCAATTAAGGATTCGCAGCATTTTCCTCCATGTTTTATCATTTGCATCATTCATTCTCTATTCCCTGTTGTCAGTTCTTTTCCCGTAGCTCACTCTCTTTGCCACTCTCTTTGTCTGGCCTCTCACTCCTCTTCCGCAGTCTAGCCAGCAGTAGCCGTGACAACCCAGTCCATGTATGGGATGCATTTTACGGGGAAGTGCGAGCCAGTTTCCGACCCTACAATCACCTGGACGAGCTAACAGCGGCTCACTCGCTCTGCTTCTCACCTGACGGCACGCAGCTCTACTGCGGCTTTGACAAAACGGTCAGAGTCTTCTACACCGAGCGTCCTGGCAGAGACTGTGAGGAGCGGCCCACAGTAGGTCAGTCATCAAATGCTCTTGCAACAGTTTGTTTCATAATGCTCTTGCACAGTTTACAGGTTACAGTACAAGGAGGTAATTTTAAGACATGTAATTGTGGTTTGTTTACATTAAAACAAATTTGATCTATTCTTTGATCTTACATTGTTATGAATTATTATATTATGTTTCCTGAAAGTGGTTGGAAAGATGGACTTTATCTTAATTATAATTATTTGTTACAAATAGATAAAAAATTATAACAAACAGAATTAGGAATGATGTAAAATGTACATTACTATTCAAGAGCAGGGATTGTCTTGTAAACTCGCACTCTTGTTCAAGGATCCTCCGAACTCTTTGAGTCAAAAATCATTTACAGGAAGAATTGCATTCACAGGCTATGTTCTTGGATAATCCAGCCCACAAGAGAAACAATAAGTAAACAGGGGCATTGTGAAAAGGATAATGTGAAGTCTGTTGTTGCTTGTGTTCTATAAGTTGCTGTTTGACAGCTGGCTGTCACATCTCACAGGCTGAAGTCTCCTTGAACAAACCAGCAAGGAGAGTTTTTATTATGTACTTCAGACAAAAAATAAAGGCAACTAAAAGTTTACTGCAATGAATTCCTTATCTCTGTCGCACACCTCAAACAAGTTTCAATGTGATGGAAGGTTTTTGTAATGCACTGAAATGAACTGAACCGGTTTTTATAACTTTCTTATAGTTAATGGACTGAAGCACCAAAATAATCTTTGCATATATCAACAAATAGGTTTTATTTTTCAGTGAAAGCAGTTTTCATATCCCTCCATGATTTTTTTTTTTATTTTTCATTATTTACTGTGTTAAGTGGCAATGTATTCACTTTTCAGCAGACAACAAACAAACATGTATCACATGCAAATGCATGGAATTTTTTTAGGTCACGAGTAACTTTCAGCCCTGCTGCGCTGGCAGCTCAACATGCTGCTCTGCTAGATCACTGCTGTGTACGATTTCTTGTGTATTTGGCTCCATCAGCTCTGCTTGACAACTAATAACAGCAAATTATGCGGAAATGTATGGTCAGTCTCAAAAACAGGTTATGTGATCCATGTGAAGACAGTGCCAAACCCTCGCTTCTGCATTTATGTGCCAAAAACGTGCTAAAGGTCTTTTCTAAAAAGTGAGAAAGAAGATGATTTGGAAAGGAGTAAACTGTAAAAAGGAAACAGATGATCCAAATGTGACTCTATTGTGTGTATTGTTGAGAAATATTTTCCTCTTTGAGATGTAATCAGTGAAGTAGAAGCTGCCAAAAAGTCATCTTTGAGTAGAAGTGATTGTGATTTGTGTCTTATGAACCTTTTTAAAGTTCTGAAAGCTTTGCCAAATGTCACTCCTGTCTTCACTGCAGTGAAGAAGCAAGGCCAAAGTGGCATCATCTCCTGCTTTGGCTTCAGCCCGTGCCAGTCTGTTTATGCCTGTGGCTCTTACTCCCGCTGCGCTGGCCTCTACTCCTGCCAAGACGGCACCCTGCTGGCTCTGCTGCCGACCCGTCACCACGGAGGGCTCACCCATCTGCTCTTCTCCCCCGACGGCAACTACCTGTACACCGGCGGGCGCAAGGTGAACACACGAACACAGGCAGAAAATGGCAGCATAAGGAGAAGACGTGCTGCTTCGTTTGAATGATCACATGCATGCACACGCACACACACACACACACACACACACACACACACACACACAAACACACCATCAGCGGGTTTTGTGTGTAAAGCAGGTGACAAATCACTTTGTTGCATTGAAGCATTGTCAAAGCTTTTGGATAAGAGCTTTATATGCTAAGTTCCTGTGTTGATGGCATGAGTCAGCATGTAATGAATCTGATTAGGCATTAAGGCGTTCCCCCAGAAGTTAATGCCTGAAGGATTCACTGTATTTCACGAAGGTTCTGCAGAGGTTTGCTGTCAGCGGAGTTTGAACCTGCACCTGTCTGATTATCGGATTTTTTTTTGCCTCCATGCCGACGACAGCCGTAGCCTGAGGCATTATCTTTTTGGGTTGTTCGTCCATCCATCAGTCCTGTTGTTGTGAATACGATAACTCAGGAACGCCCTGAGGGAATTTCCTCAAATCTGGCACAAATGTCCACTTGGACTCAGGAATGAACTGATTCGAATTTGGTGGTCAAAGGTGAAGATAACTGTGACTTCATAAAACATATTTGTGGCCATAACTCAAGAATTCAAATGCTGATTATGACAAAAAACACTGTTCATTACATTCCTTCAAAGTCTTCACTCCACATATAACATGAGTCTGGACAGACATGGATGTAAACTGCTACTTGACTGGTTGGTGGAGGCATACAACCACAAGACAGTTATCCTATATATATTATATTAGTTTTAATGTTTTTGCAGTTCTAGATAGTTTTCATAAGTGTGAGACAGATTGTCAGTTAACTGACAAGCATTTTTGCAAATAAGTCATTAGTCAGTCATTAACAGTAATGAGCACTTTACTGAAGCTCCACCATAAATTCACCATGAATGTCAATGAAAAAAGCAGTCAGTGTCTTTGACAGTTCTCTAGTTACACATCACACAAATTGTCTAGAATGTTTTACTGACAACTTTCAATGTAGAGACTTTATAACCGTCAACTCCTGTGGGATGCAGTGCCTCATTCATTCCTGTTACATTATATCACCCTGGTCAGATTAAATATAAACTGGCATTCCAGCGTCTGTGAAGTTCGTCTTACACTTTAGCATGAAGGTCACACTGTCAGTTATCACATCTACAGTTGAATGTACAGGGTTGAATGTACAGAGCTACACAGCAGGTTTATGTAATTACTTATACTGGCAAACAAGTTATTAATGTATAGGAATTCCTGATTGTTTGCACAAATGATCAAACAGGAATCTCTGATACCTGCTGGCCTCTATAGCTCTGCTGAATTGTGTGTGTATGTGTCTGTGTGGGTGTGTGTAGGATCCAGAGATTCTGTGCTGGGATTTAAGAGAGCCGGGAAAGGTTGTGTTTTCACTTAAGAGGAACGTTACCACTAACCAGCGCATCTACTTTGACCTGGACGTGTAAGTTTACTTCACCAATTACAACTTTACTCAGGGACACCTAGTGACACTGCTCTAGAATCCACATAATACAGTTTACACAGTATCAGCTTACTGTCATTCATCCTGTCTGTTGACTTGGGCGTACCATTTTAATGTGGTTTTATAAATGCAGATCATTTACCTGTGACCTCTGTTAGCACTTCATTGTATTGTCCACTGTTTGTGTGTGTGTGTGTGTGTGTGTGTGTGTGTGTGTGTGTGTGTGTGTGTGTGTGTGTGTGTGTGTTTCTACAAGGTCAGGCAGGTACTTGCTGAGCGGCGACACAGAGGGAGTGGTGTCAGTGTGGGACACCCAGACAGCTCCTCCTGAGGGTAATGAGGAGCTACTGCAACCTCAGCTGAGGTACCAGGCTCACTGGGACTGCACCAATGGCATCAGGTATGATTGCTTAAAGAATCTAACCCATCCTGTTGGCTGGTGACACAACATCAGTGAGTAATGTAGCACATTACTGTGTCCTATTAGTGTTAATTGAACAAAATAAATCTTATGAATGAAGAAACCGAAGCCTCTCAGTTATTCGGGTTCTTGTTGTCAGAAGTCAAATACAACAGCACAGAAAGTCCATTAGCCCTCAACTCACTACTATTAAAAATGGTAGAGTCACAAACATTAAGCATCCTAATGGATAAAGATCATACTGAACAACTCGGAGTAGGAGAGAGAGTGAGTGCGCAATCATAAAATTCAGGTACTTCAATCATGTTCAGTGACTGTGTTACTGTTTTTCTGCTTGACTGTCCTGTTGTGTTGTGCTGTTTGTCTCCCCCAGTCGTTTCACACAAATCATCCAAAATATTTTAGATAGGAGGAAAAGCAACTTCCAATTTCAAAACAGTAATATTGCACAGCAAAGACTATTAATGCTTTGTGAAAACGGATAGCTACAGCTTCTGTATGTATTTATGAAATATCCAGTAAATGGCTCTCTTGCTAAGTAGCAATTCACATAATCTCATGTTATTGGATTCTCTACAGAAGAGACGAAGGTAGCTGATGAAGTGAAAATTGAACTGTTACTGAGATAAATGTTGATACCATGGCTGTAAATGAGCTGCAGTTTTGCATAGAATATGGGCTTATGGGCTCAGTCAATTAATTCAGTTGTTAAAGGACTGAAATTAACCAATTTCCTCTTATTGTTTAGTCTGACTATCTTTCAAACGCATATCCAAGTGTAATGCTGCAGAGCAAAATATCAGAACTGTCAGTTATATTCAATCCCTACTATAACTAACATTTATTTTTGCATTACTCTCATTTTCATTTTCTTCCTGCCCCCTTCTGCAGTATTCATCCCTTCATGCCGTTGATAGCGACCTCCAGCGGCCAGCGCCAGTTCCTGTGGCCCGACGACAGCGAGGGTGACTCGGCCTCTGACAGTGAGGGAGGTGAAGCTGTGATGTCACCGCAGGAGATCAAACAAGACAACGCCCTGAGCCTATGGTGGGCCGGACCACTCGGCCCCGCCACAGATGGGAACCAGGAGCCGAACACATTGGCAGTGGAGGCCTGAAGTTCTGTTAGTTCAACCAGAAGACACAAATTGAGTTACACCTCCCACATGATGTTTATTTTGGGAATGTTGGGTGTGGGTAAAATGAATTATCGATCAGTCAAATTCTTTTTTTCCATTGGTAACATGAAGTCCTGAGGTGGAAAAGCATTACTGGATCATTTTTAAACATCCAGTGTACTTAAACATGACACGTTCACACACACGGTCCAAATAAATTACTGAAATTGAATCTTAACATATCAGCAGCAGGTTTACAAGTAGTGCAGTTGTCAGCAGAGTTAAAATGAAAGGATTATGAAACATTGCACATCAGGCCAGGACAGATTTTCAGGGCCCTGTTTTTGAAGACTTTATAAATTTAATGCCAGTTCAGTAAATATGAATTGGACCTAAAGGGTAAGACTGGTCAACACTAAAAGCAAGGTTTTCTTCAAAACCTTACTTAGGTTGAGACAAGAAGTGGGTTGCATAAGAAGTGGATTGGGCCTTGATATTTCCTTTTCCAATTTTGTTATTAAATTTGTGAGAGAACTTTTTTTTTTTTTTTGAAAAGATGAAATGTAATGAATCTTTTATGAAACTCTTGTTTACCTGTTTTCTTTTTTTAAAGTGGAATCTTTCCTAAATTGGACGGATTTGGTTGAATTGAAATTTTCGACTGTGGTGTGAAGCGGCCCAGTGTCTGTCTACTGATTGCACCTCCGATCTGAGTTGTATTTGTGGGAGTACTAGTTTACGTGTGTGTGTGTGTGTGTGTGTGTGTGTGTGTGTGTGTGTGTGTGCGTGTGTGCGTGTGTGGCTGTAACGCTGCCCCGGAGATTCTTAACTGCTATTGTTACAGTAAGTGCCATTTGTTCTTGAGCTTTGCTTTTGTAAACTGATGGAATCTCCGGTTTTTACCTTCTTTTTTAAACTATTGGACGCACCAAGTCGTTGTGTCGCTCTGTGCATGCCCACAAAACGTATATTTTTGTAAAGCCATGATGTTGATTCTCATTTTCGAATGTACACTCTGTAAGCAGCTAGCTTGATTACTGTAACCTCATAACAATCTGTGAAAGTCTTTAATTGGTGGGTGCACCTGTGAAATGAGCAATGTCTTATTTTTTTCTACCGGGTGTGCTCAGATTACATTTGTAACTGTGTGAATGGTAAACGTGGCAGCACAAAACACATTGTATTTGAATAATCGCATTAATAATGTACTGCGGTGGTTTGCTCAGTGCTTATGTTGCCATCAGTGGGGTGTGCTTTGCTGTAGGGTTTCTTTGCAGGTTGGTCAGAGGCTCAGCCCGCTCCAACCAAAGCCTTGTATCTTTAGAAACTGATAAATCTATTAATTTGCCTCTGCTGATTCAGGTTTCACTTCTTTGAACTCAAATGTGTTGCCAAGCAATAGTAGCTACGATCAGGAAGCTATTATTGAACAGTACTATACAAAATGCTCTACCGGGAAGCATTAGGAACCATGTAGGCCTTGATGATGTCACACAAGTCTCATGATTGATAGCTGTATCTGCAACAGGTGGTTTTCTGATGGTTTTATTCAAGCAGGAGTGAATTAAAAGCATATCTCTTTACAGATTTGCGCTCTTACTCATTTTTGTCCTCTCTGTTAAAGGCAGTTCAGAGTTGGATGCCCTGTAATAAATCCCCGATGAATGCAAGATGATGTTACACTCATGTCAAGAGGCAGCTCTTAAAAGCTGAAGGGACTATTGGCTTTCACTCATGAGATGGAAACTATTCATAGCTTTCACCTTTCCCACACACATTCTGTATGAATGCACACACACTCATGTATTTGATTGTCTGAAACCACAGGGGTACACTGAGCAGAGAGCCAAGTTGGAGAGCTGCACTGTTGTGTTGTGCAGGTTGCTTAGCAACCGCCTCCGCCTTGGGAGAGGAAAGTAGGTAGAGAGACGACAAGAAGGAAAATTGGGGGCAGAGAGAGGAAAAAAGAAATGCCAAACAAGTGTAATAAATAATCCAGTGGTGTAGTGATTGCTACTTGTTTGTCTGATGGTCTGGACTTAATATCAGCTCTACCAGAGACTGAAGTGTCTGTGTGGTGATGAGCGATATGTAGGTTCTTATCATCTCTGTGTCTGCTGTTGGCCATTAGGGACAGAAAGTAGTAATGACACAAGTTGAGATATGGGCAGTCTTGCGCTTGATGTTTATGGTCTGTCATGTAATCTGAACTGCGAGACCTTTTGCAGACAGATGTGTCACTTTCTTCATCATGTCTTGTCAGTAGAGTTTGCCAGAAGGAAACTTGTCCACTCACTTGATTCAGAAATGATCAAAAGAAATGTGATGCACCTTAGAGCAAAGGGTCTGAATACATAAAAAATATGCTAGTACTGCATTTGGATTTTAAAGATGCTCTAATAAAATGTTTTGATATTAACCAGATAAAATTACAATATGTTATGTGAAAGGGGATGACTGGTTGTGACAAACTTAAAATTATCACCCAACTCTGCCATTCCCCTCAGCTCCACAGAGCGCGTTAGCATCTTTTGTTTTGAATTTACAGCCCACAACTTTACTGTTTTGGTTCCCTCTTAGTTCACCTCAAACTCGGTTCACGAAGGGGAGCATTTAATAGCTAAAAAGCCAGATGATGTGTTTCCCTCAGGAATTAATGGAGAGCAAACTAAATCTAAAGGGAGGATTATTTGTTTTTATTTATGTATTTATTTTTTATTTGTTTACATGTTTGTCATACCATCTTTGTGAGGTAACGTCAGTGCCATTCTTAGTGTTCGTTGCTATGCCCCAAACAACACAGATTATCTACTGGACCTATTGGGCCAGTGCTCGGGCCTCCGACCACTAGGGGGCCTCAAAGTCCGCACCTACTGTAACCTCAGCCTAACTTTGCTTTTTTTTCTTTTCTTTTTTTTAATCAACTGGAATAAATTATTTGAGTGTATGTCTTGATCTACACAAATTTTAAATTTGAATGCAGATTTACTTAATTTTCAAATTAGAAAAATATACTTGGTTTACTGGATGTGTCTGTATCATGATGATGATGAGTCAGGTCAGCTGGTGACCGAGGGAATTTAGCGGCAAAACAGGTGCACTAGGTGGAGAAGACTTTTCATAATGGATCATCATTATCATGGAAAACAAACGCTGGAGCAGTGGGACAGCAAAATAAAAAGGCGGAGAAAGAAAAGGATGTCAGAGAAACTGAGATTTAAAAAAAAAAAAAAAAAAAAAACATACCATCTATCTGGACTGTTTTCAACAGTTGGATTGCTGGCATTAACCAAGAGCCTGGAGTGGACGATGGAGGACAGGGACACCCACTCCTTCAGCTGCCCCCCACCTTCATCTCCACCTGAGCCCTGACACTGATGCGGATGTGGCAAGTAGGTTACCAGTTTACCAGCCTCTCAGTCTATCCATTACGTTTTACTTGTTTCATCTGTAAGTTACTTGTAGCTAACTATTTCAACCATAAGTTAGCCTTATCTAACTATTTCAACCATATTGCTAACTATTTTAACTGTAAGTTACTTGTATCTATCTATTTGAACCACAAGTTACTTGTAGGTAACTATTTCAACCATTAGTTAGCCTTATCTAACTATTTCAACCATCATAGCCAACTATGTTATCCATAAGTCACTTGCAGCTAACTATTTCAACCATACCTTACTAGCTACTATTTTAACTATAAGCTAACTATCTCAACCACTCAGGCCGGGTTGAAATGACTGACTATTGTAATTTATCTGTTTCTGCTGTTTATTGGTGCGGTGTCTGCCTGCATGTTTCAGAGGAGGGCTGTGGTCAGTATTGCTGGCCGTGTTTCGTTGCTTTCCCTGGCATGGGTATAGAGTATGTGCTAACATGGTTTATTGTTGCTGTATCACTGTACTGATGTTTCTCCGTTTCCTGCTGCTCTGCATGGCTTGTGCTCTGTCTGGAGACCAATGCATGTAAGAAAATAAAAATTATGAACATGTGATAGAATAGATTTAAAAGCAATAAAAACAGCAATACAAGTGAGTTAAAACAAAACTTAGAAAGAAAAGACAAAACAAACGAAATCGATTAGAGGGATAAAAAATTCTGATAATATTATGCCATTCAGCTACACACTTTAAGCTAGTGCAGTGCATTGTTGCTGCTGGCCCAGGAAAGTGTTGTTGTCATGTGTTGTAAATCCTGTATGATAGGATATATCTACAGGTGTTGACACTGTCCTTCAGGTTGTGATCATAGTCTGTCGCCTGTCAGTGTAAAATCCTGTATAAGCTACAGGTGTTTCCAACAGGTTTGAGCTTGCATTCTTACTCCAGGCCTGGCCAAAATAAACTAACTATACAATTAATGCACTTTTAATAGTTCACTGAAAACGTTTTTTTTCTTTTTTTTCTTTTTTTATACTTTAGTGAAAATATTTTTGCTTGTCACTTTGGGGATATGGGTGTAGATTGATACCAGAATGTCTCAACTTTAAAATGTCCACTGCGCAAGAATGATAATGTCCTCTTGGCATTCAGTGTGTCAGTGCTGGCCAGCTGTAATATGATGGTACAAGTTTTTTTTCCTATCAGATTCTTTGCCTCAAGGCTAACCGCTCTTTTACAGTCCACTATTTTTTTTTTTTTTTTTAAATTTTGTTCTCTCCTTTTGCTTTATTTAATTAATTTTTTTTGGCCACACTGGGTCAAATCTCATGACAAATGTGACAAAACCGCATATGTTTGATTCACTTGAGACAAAACTTTCTAAATCCATTACTGTACACCTCTGAAATGTACAACTACGGTTTTCCTAAATGTTAAATTGAGCTTGGATTTCCATTGTCACAGCATTTCCTCCCTGGGCTGCAACCACAAATTGCATAAGATAGATATTGATTTAAATATTAAAAGTTTTCAGCGTTCAAGTCTAAAGATTTTTAAGAAGCTTATCCACCCTGCCAATAATGAGATTCTAGAGGAAACCCTTAACTATTGTCGTCCTTAATTAACTTCAGAATACATTGTATGTATAGAAAATGGAGTCTGTGCCATGTCAGCCAAACTTTGGTGCTGTCACACAGACGACAGCGAAGCCATTATCTTCATCCCAAGGTGGCTGCAGTGTAGTCTTTCCACTTATGCAGTTAATGAGCCAATCCACATCAAGTGTTCTGTGTTTCTGTGTTCTGTGCTTCCATTTATGTCGCATCCTGAGTGAGTCTCCATGGCCTTGCATAAGTGCCTTCCATTAGACTGGCACACACACACAAACTTAACAGTCCCAGCACTCATCACCAGAAAGTGTGCAGAATAGTAAGTAATGGGATCTTGATATTAAGAAAGACATTTGAAAACAATTATTCAAATGGCCGTCTGCCTGTTGAATCTCCTAATCCCACAGTGAAGCACTCAAGCAAACACTCAGCGGTGTGACCCCAGCTGAATTAGCATGGAGGAAGAAGGGGAGCACACGCAGCTCTGAAGCCGGAGATGCTAAAACGTCTAGACTGCTCTCTGGTTTGTCACTCTCATGCTGACTTTGAAACGAAAAGGCTTTTTAGAACATGAGGCAGAGGGAACAGATTTCCTGTAGCTTTTAGAGGTTGTCATACATGGCATTTCTCAAAATGTCAAAGGGACAGCTCCTTTATCTCCGAGAGACTTTGAATGTATTTGGCAGGCGCTTAGCGCAGGGCTTCACTCTGACCTGGCTCCGACACCTTAGGGAAGTAGAGGTGTTGCATCCAGTTTTCCTCAGACTTAATACATTTTGTGATGCATACACACAACTGCCACTTCATTTGGTACACCTCTCCGTTTACAGCTCGGGCTTTTAGGAAACGTGTCACTTAAATTAAGTGCGAGGCATTCAGACGGATCTCAACCGGATCATATCTGGGCACTGGAACAAGATTTGCAGCCAGCTTGTAGCACCAAAAAAGACGCATGACTTTCTGTGTGATGTGACCCTGTCGAATCTGTGCTTCCCAGATTTGGTTGTATCAGTGACAGATACGTGCTACCAGTAATGAACTGGCCACTGACCGTATACATTTAAATCAGTCATCATCCTGCTCATCAGCCTATTTCACTCACCCGAAGGAGGAAGGGAAATTTTGCAGTGGTAGCTCGTGAAATCCCAGACAGGTTTGACAGCAGTCAGAGCAGCATGAGGTTGGGGAAACACAGCAAAGCTGTAAAGAGTACTCCAGCAATTGAATATTACACTCTCATAAAGTTGAGGAACTAAGTGGAAAGGTCAAAGCTTTAGTCCCTGATAGTGGTGGAAAGTAAGAAAGTACATCTACTCGTACAGTTTTGAGTATTTCCAGAGGGAAATGGTGAACTTTTT